TGAGGAGTTAGGCATTAGCTGAAAGAAGAACACAAAAGAACAAGAGAAAACGAAAGAAGATTTCCATGTCTTTCTGTGAACTCTGAAGAGAAAGAAATAAAGTTTCGAACATCAACAAAGTCCTTCTAACTCTACTGACCTGGACGATCTACATGCACAAACATGTAAGATATTGAAGCTTAGTCACAAAGTTAATTATGACTTTGAACTTTTCTATAGAGTTGAACATTTGGTACGTTTCAAATGCCATTTATAGGACTCAAGGGCAGCGTCGTCTAAACGTAAAATGTTCAAGTTCTCGATGCAGAAAATGCGATAGCCAACATTAAAACGGAGAGGATTATTTCAATGTACACAAGGTATAAAACCATAAAGAAGTTTTATGTCATAGCCAATTGAGGTGAATTGTATGATTTAGAGCAAGTGAAGCGATTTTCCCGAAAGAATTACTATCCAGTAATAAATGTTTTCTTGGTGCCCCTTATCGATATTTGACTAAATTATTGATTTTTACGATATTGCTAAATACAAGTTTTCAATGGATATTTATTGTTTATTTACAACAGATTCTTGAGCACGAGGCTTTATTTCGCTTTTGATGTAGCAAATCATGTGTATTAATAAACAATTGTTACTTAATCGATGTTGCAAGTAATGAATAATACAGTTCAACGTATATAAAGGGTTTTCCAATTCAATGTTAAATAATTTGATTTAATTTTATATTTTGTTGGCTAAGCTAAATCTATGTGAATACTAACCAAACTCTCTTTTCCTAGATAAGACGGATTAACAACGAGTTGCCTCTTCCCGAAGTCGAGGAATCAATTTGATGCTAGATGCGGATGGGCTGGAACGTTCATGATCTTGTAGGTGTTTTATGCTACATTACGTACGTGCAACTGACTTCTTCGTTTTCGCGGTTAACAACGAGAAATTTGATGCAACAGTTGCTCTTAACTGATTTTTTCATGCACATTGAAAAGAAACAAAATATCCTCAGCAGTAAAGTGGATTTGTTGTTAAAATTTGTTTGGGAGTGCTCTTCTCAATAAAATTTAATTTTAATGAAGAATGCCTCCTGTTGTGTAGCCCACGATTGCCCCAAAGCCTTATAAGCTGTGAGTCTTTTCCGTTGAAGCTTGCGAGAATTTTTAATTTTGTTTACTTTAAGAAGAGAAAATTTTGAAAACAAAACCTGTTTTCGGTCCATTCCATTAATTGACACCAACCCCATTGTTGCCCATCAACCCCAGCGTCTTTTACGTCCTGATCTGAAAACGATAGCAGGCTCTCGCTTAACGCCGAAATTGAATTGAGCCAGTTTTCCAGAATCATGTTCTAACAGGCGGACCGAGAAGGCAAGACTGGCTTTTTACCGTCCGCATCCCGAGATTCCGGATACCGAACTTGCAAAAGTAACAGTCAAAAGCAGAATGTAATAACGGTCTGGCAAGTTGATGAAGTCATAAGCAGGCTGAAGTTCCAACTTTACAATATCATGAATGCTTAACTTCAAATACAAGCGGCGTAATTGACCCTGCAAAACCGTTTCGGTCCAACCTTCCGATACCATTCCGAGGCACTAGAACGCCGCATGTTAACGTTTCGGTAGAGATTTCGGCCCTCCACGCTATCCCTTGGGAGATGCAATAGCAAGCTTCCGCCCATCAGACCCCGAGATCACCTGCGATAGGCTTTGCTCGGTACGCAGGAGAGTGGTCGCGACCGAAACGTCTGGACCCCTAAGCCACTGCATACATATCGCACCCAGCTTCCACTGCTAGTTGACATCTACTATACCTAATATTGGCTTTATATATATATATACAAAAATTCAGAGGCTTACGAAAGTTGCGGTATTATTAAAGTCACTACTGCGCATGCCCAGATGATTTCTTTGATAATTTGCGACTAAGTGAGCTAATTACCAAATATAGTGCAAGTACATATAGTTAGTCGTTGCCATGACTATAAACAATTGTTCAATGTACTGCGCATGCCATGATGATTTATCCATTTAATTGTTACCACTAACTTCAAATTCGGTGCTTGTAGATGCAGCTGGTCGTTGCCATAACTATGAAGTCAAAACTGTCATGAACTGCGCATGCTCAGTTGATATCTTTAATAATTTGTTAGTAAGCAAGTTATCTACTCCTAATTGATTCTAATAAATGCAGTTGGTCATTTCCATGATCGTTTACTCAGACAATTGGTCAAATAGACTTTGCTTGTACTGCGCATTTCCAAGCTGTACTGCGCATGCTCAGATGATTTTGCGTACATTTATGTGACCAAACGATTTAATCACTCAGAAAGCGATGAAAATAGATCCAGCTTGTCGTTACCATGACTATGAAATTGAAAAATTTGTCAAATGGACTGTGCAGACTCATATGAAGTTTAAAGCCTAGTGCCAAACACTAATATTCCCTCACCAAATATTAAAAGAAAAGATGGTACAATGCTTTATGAATAAATTTCTTTAAAGTCTGTAGCAACTTGCAATCCTCCGTAGATTCTCCGGGAAGAGAGTCGTGACAAAGAGGAAGAAGAAACTCGAATGTCGGATGGCAGCGATTGAAAGACGATGAGAATGAACGTTTACTTAAAGAAAGCAGAACTATTTCTGATATTCTTTTGTTTCAAATGTCGATGTTTACAGAAATCTTCCATCCCAGTTGCTTCAGTTTTCTCGTGGTAAGAGAGTGTCTGAGACTTTTTATATTTTTCATGCCACTGTGAAATTTCTGGCGATAAGTGGACAGTCTCAAATCAACTTTAAACATTATTTTTGCCCAAATAACTTGCATTAGTGTATAATTCATCTCGCCAGTATCTCCTTACCTACGACATCAGTCGTCATATGTCATATTGATCTTGCTTCATGTCGGCTTTCTTTTAAATAGGCTCTCGGCGACTTTAAGTTTTTCCTTTGTAATGAAAACTGACGATGATTGTTTTGTTAACCTGGAGACCATCTTACAGGTTTGTGAAAGCTCTTCAATAAATAATAGAAATACGTGTTGGTATCTTGGGAGTTGGGAGTACGTAGAGGTAACTTGGGAGTTGGGAGTACGTAGAGGTAACTTGGGAGTTGGGAGTACGTAGAGGTAACTTGGGAGTTGGGAGTACGTAGACTTGGGAGTTGGGAGTACGTAGAGGTAACTTGGGAGTTGGGAGTAGAGGTAACTTGGGAGTTGGGAGTACGTAGAGGTAACTTTGGAGTTGGGAGTACGTAGAGTAACTTGGGAGTTGGGAGTACGTAGAGGTAACTTGGGAGTTGGGAGTACGTAGAGGTAACTTGGGAGTTGGGAGTACGTAGAGGTAACTTGGGAGTTGGGAGTATGTAGAGGTATCTTGGGATTTTGGAGTACGTAGATGTATCTTGGGATTTTGGAGTATATCAATCTGGTGGCTTGCGTGGTTTTAAAATGGTTGAGATGTGGTTTTAGAGGGCTTAAGGGTAGTTTATGGTTTAACCGTAGTCTAGGGTAGCGAAGCGTAACTTAAAGCCTTGGACCACCTTTAAACCACGCTGAAGCTACCCTTAAACTCCCAAAACATTTTACGCTACCCTTAAAACATCCTTACTCTACCCTTAAACCACCCTTAAAACACCCTTACGCCACTCTTAAACCATGCTGTGGAGATGATTTTTACACCATCCCAGACCTCTCATTGAGAGCTTTGGAATGAGCCTCGTCCCGAGTCTCTACAATAAAAGCACGAGGAAATAGAAATTGCGCATGCTCAGTATAGAGTCGATTTCAACATTAATTACCTCCGGAAGTATACAAGCTGCACAGATGATTTTTGACTCAATCTAAAGATTTTACTCAATCAAGCGATTTGTAAGGGTGTCTTTAATTAAGCTTTATATCTTTAATAGTGTACCGAAGAACTTCACGACTGAAGAAATATTTGATATTTTTAAATGGAAAGTCATAATTTAAAAACACGTCTAAATTGTGGTGGGGAAGGTGAGTTTAGCTCAACTCCGTCAGTACACAATATTCTGTGTACGTGTTTGTAGATAGATCGTCCAGGTTAGTAGAGTCCTGAGAAGGACTGTTGGTGTTGATGTTGACTGAAGTTTCGACAACCTTAGCGGTAGTCATCTTCAGAGTCAAAAATACTACTGCTAAGATTGTCGAAATGTTAGTCAACGCCAACAGCAACAACACTTCTCAGGACTCTACTAACCTGGACGATGTACATCTACAAACATGTAACGATACTCCCGGGTTCAAACCATCTACTTTATACTGAGTCCATTCTAAAGATTTTATTGACATAGTGAAAATCCTTTTGAGATATCATGTTTTGGGCATTAGGAATTGCCAAATTTATAATATTTTCTTCAAGTAAAACAGAAACGAGATTGCAAACATACGAATTAGCGTTTTCCATGCGACTAAACTATAAATAAGGTATGAGAATATGAGTTGTAGTTATTGCTTCTAAATGCAATTGCTTCTTCATATTTACAGCTTTCGTACTGATTGGTTGATCGAGAGACAGGGAAAATGGGCCGAGCCTGATTATCCGGGAGTGGCTTATCCGACATTTGCCTGCGGTGCGGGCAGCATTATATCTTCGGATATTGTTCACTGGCTGGCAAAAAACGAGAAATCTCTAAAACGTTATCAGGTATATGATAGAAAACCACGACGAGATTACAATGTTGAAAGTGACCTCTTGATGTGTAAAGATGTAGTTCTCAGAGTACTAGATATTGACACATGTTTTTTCTTTCTTGTGTAAAGGGGGAGGATGTCTCTATGGGTATTTGGTTATCAGCTATTGCTCCTGAAATTTATAAGGTAAGATCTCCTTTTCTTCTCTGCAAGTTTGTGACGGTTGTTCAACAAGATCCTTTATGGTGATCTTACTCTTACGAGCCCAGGTTCTTATGAACCAGCGGCCGAACATGTGACGGTGTTTCCTTTCTATTTCAAATACTTCAGGATGAGCGATGGTCGTGTTTCGGGATTGTCAGATGGAAATGTTTACCTTGCCCGAGCAGGATGCCGATTCTCTTCTCTATTTATGGGAAAACTTTATGTCCTGCGGTAATCCTTGCAAATGTTGAGGTACGTTAGTTATGTCGGGGGGGGGGAAGAGGGAGATAAGAAAAATTCCAAATCCACACAAAAAGATAGAAAAGTACAGCTTCAATTAAACTTTTTATCTTTTTTTTTCACTTAATTAAATCTATTTTCTCTATATTACAAATTTAATGTTTTGGCTTTTTACGAACGACATTAATTTAAATTAAATAAAATCTATAGCGCTGTGTAAACGTTTTTGTATAAAATGGTTATTGCTTGGAATATCGACATTATTCCTGCTATGCAAATATTTTTGTGTTCATTAACTGCAAAAACAATCGAAATAATTCCGAATAATTTTGCTAAAAAATTTGCCATGCAGGTGTAAAGATTTCGATTAGCCTCGCTTATGTCCCTGCGTACTTCATGTAAAATATTTATTGCAATGCTAATTGTGTAAAGTGTATAAGTACAGACTTGAGTGTTGCTGCGATCAAATTACGTCATAGCGTCAAATTACGTCATTAGCGACGAAAACGTCATAAATTCAGAGATAAGCATAAAATGTTTCATTTTCTTAACGAAATGCATGTCGTTTTTTGCGTTTGAATATTTATTGTGGGAAAGGTTTAGTAAGTCGATTCGATCGTTTATAATTAACTTTCTTCTCGTAGGAGTTAATCTTTATGTGGAAACATCTTCGTGGTAGTCAAGTTGTACCACAGTTCATTGTCAAATCTCATCTTTCCTGAAACAGGATCCATAAATATTCTCTTCAGTAGAACACACGGCCATATTCCTCCAAGAATCTTTTCAATATCACGAGGATTCAACAGAAACGTTTGACATGACCGTTAAAGTTTCTTCATCGGAAACGCTACTACCGTTTGGTAGGGCGATAAAACGATCAGCGTTTTAATATCTTCTATTAAACTTCCACTCTTTCCTCGCGTGTGAACACGCTACCGTTGCTTGTCAAGCTGTCGGCAACGTTCGACACCTTTTGACCATTGAGTTCTATAATAACTGGAGCGGCTATCTCAAGCGCGGCCTTAGATATCTGGTGACGCCAAAAAAATGGCGGATTTCGTCCGTTGCCGCTGAGATTTACCGAAATTGATCGCTTTTCCGAAAATTTTACAATTTCCCACTCCCTCCTGAGGAAAGATTGAGGAAAATGTATTTGTGTATTTGGGATTCAGCAAGCAATTTTTTAATGAAAATCAAGGTAAAAACCTTAAATTCATAACAGCGAGTCAACTGTGGTTGTCAGTTATGTGCTCCTACGAGGATGCATTTATAACTATCGACGAAAGAGCTATATGTCGGCTACACATGTATGAATGCAGATGTGCGTCGTTTTTTTACTAGCGTCAAACTTGTTTGATCGATTAAACTCTTTAGTCTATACAAAAAAGTATATCACAGTTCATCTCCACGGTTCACGAGAGAAGTTAGCTTATTTGTTATCATTGCTATTTTGCTTCTTTTCATGATGCAATGGGCAATGACTTTTTTCGCCACAATTGTTGGATTTTTACTTGTTTCTTTAAAAAAGTAAATATTAAATCTCTGGATATTTACGGATTTTATGTAATTGAGTTTCATATTGAATTTAAAAAAGACTCAAGTCTGCATAGGTTTGGTAAATGAAAACAAACAATATTGTATAGAAATTACTTTAAGTAACCTTTTTGTGATGTTCTGAAGTGCAACTGCATCAAATACTTGTAAAGTTGTAGCACATTTTGATTTTGTTGTATTGATATATGAATTGGGCAAAATGCAAATAATCATCAAAACACTTATGCTTCCAATGGTGTTTATAATTCATTTGTAGTTTTAATACTTCTACCCTTCTTTTTCACTTTGTTTTGTTTTTCCTATATTTGCAAATAAGTACACAATTTGAATGATTAACACAATTTTCACCTCAATAATAAATTTCATAAGCAGTTGGTGGTGCATTTTGTTCTCTGAGTATCCACATCTGGTGTTTTGTTCATACAAGAATGATGAAGTGCAAGTAGATATGTCATAGCAAGGCAATATAACCAAATCAATCAAATACCTATAGTATACTTTTATGCTAGAAGCTTAAAAGCTTTTTAGAAATTATAAAGTTATTGGATTATATTAACCATATATCATCAATCTCATGAAAAGAAATAAGAAGGAAAAAATTTGTAGGAAAGCTTTGAAAAGTGTTAAACTTTTCTTTAAAAAAGCAGCAATAATGCATATGATAAATTTCCATTCTGTACTCTAATAGGTAAATAAGCTCAAACTGTTTCTAAAAGCAAAAACTGTGATAATGAAGAAATGTACAGTACAGTAACTTTAAAGGTTTCATCACTGAATCTTTAATGCTTCAGTATAGTGCATTAGATATTAGTAACATTGAAACAACACTCAACTAAAATATTTTGATAAAGATATGACATGATTTAACCATTAAGTTACATAAAACCCAATGGCTTATACAGTTTGATGCTTCACATCTGCATCCATTCATCATCAATCTCAGTACAAATGTTTACATAGACACATACTTTATGGCCTTCCATTTTACACGTTTGTGAATTGACATTTCATTAAGCATTAAAACACACACAACCTTCTTGCCATCTTTCTTTGGATCATGAACTTTAACTTCAAAGCATACAAGGCATCCTTAGTGAATCCATTGTCTCCATCCATAGAATTTGACCATGATCAAATTAAATAACTCTGGATTGGGCAGACAATAAATCAATTATCTTTACAGCATTATCATTTTTTTTAAGACTCTGCCAGGTCAATAACATCTTCTACTCATCTTTACTCCTTGATCTTCCCTGGATGTTGTCAGCAAATAGAACACAACAAGCTTTGCTCCAAATCATGGGTACTGTTGGGGCTGATCATTTCTTTTTGATACTTACTCACAGAGCAAATTGTGTGCAGGGTCTTTTACTTTAGGGAAACTATTTTGCAAATAGATGGGTAAATTTACGATTTCATGCATTAACAAATGACAGAAAAGTATGCAGAATTTTATAGACAATAACAGGGAAACATCAGTATCTTTGGCGTTCAAGTCAATCTTAAAAAATACGATCTTTAATACGTATTTTATGGCTTTTCAAGTACATGTACAATTGCTTTTCAATCGTTGACGGACTAACAAAACAAGCAACTATCTCACCTGTAAGAAGCGATATGTTCGTTTTTGTGGAAACTACGACATCCAACAATTGAATGATTGAAGTGTTGTAATTATAAAAGAAATGCCAAAAAATATATCGTCACAGAATATGGAACAAACGATATCCATATTCTGTGATATCGTGTTTGTTTTTGAAAAATTCTTTATAATTTACTATAGACACCAGGGGGAGGTCGAGAATATTATTTTTCTGCAAAGCGATCATTTCAGCGGAAATACGTCCGTTGGCCGCCATTTTTTTGGCGACCTCGCCCCAGTAAAGATAGCCGCTCCAGTTATTATAGAACTCAATGCTTTTGACCAATTTTATCGGGAGATTCCGACTCTCGACCCTGAGCGCTCTCCGTCTCGCTGTTGAATCTGGAGTGACGAGTCTCGCTACTCGTGGAAATGTAGCTGTTTTCTTGTGGACTTCCTTGTTGTCGTCTCTGCTCTCGTTGTTGTTTGTATTCACATGCTGCAAGTTTCGCAGTCAAATCACGTATTTCCTCCTGTGAAAAGTGTAAGGATAATGATTTTAATATAGGAATGTCATTAATTGAACATCAAATCGGCTTATTTCATAAGTGTTAACGGATTCTTTGCTACAATTTCAATGGTTTTAACTGAGGATAATTACTCTATATTGAAGATGATAATCTCTGTAAATTGGGGATAATAATCAACTACAAGTGATAATGATCACTTTCGCGTGTGGCGTGAGTTGAGATTTTGGCAGTTGTTTAACAAAAGCATATTTCACACGTTGTTTGACGTGCGCCTATAAATGGCTTAATGCATAATGTGCTGTCACAAGGAGCACACATTCAATTTTCAAGTTTTGAGAAACTGAAAGACTGTAATTGGACGTGAATACCATCACAGGGACCAAAGTTCAACTCATTTCCCCCATACCTTCCCGTCAGACCCTGGCGCATCTCACGATCGACTCGTTCTTTAGCAACTCTGCGATGATCTGACAAATCTCCCCTAACCCTCAAACCTAGGCCACCCACTTTGCAAATGGAGAGTCGTTCTTTGTATTTAAGACAATAACCATTGACATTGTTTCTTTGAACATTCTTCGAAAAATCCTCGTTTTAATCTGTACTCAAACAGTATTCCCAAAACATCTTACCCTCAGTTGTATATTCTCAGTTTCCAGACCCTCGCGGCTTTTCTCTTCATCGTTTTCGCACACCAAAGTACCGTCCTCCAAACGGTTGAGATGAAATGGTGATTTACGAAGATCCGTCATCGTTGTGGCTATAGACGAACTACCCCGAGAACGCCTTCTTTGATTTACATTGTATTTTTTCAAGAAGTATACCTTTAAAACAGACAGGAAAAATTTAATATCGAGGAGGGCAGGTGTAGGTCAGCAAGTACACAGACTGACTTTAAGATTGTCGTAAGATGTCTGAGAGGATAAAGTTGATTGATCCTGCGGTAGTAGTCACCTTCAGAGTCAGTGTCAAAATGACTCTGAAGATGACTACCGCTAAGGTTGTCGAAACGTCAGTCAACAACAAAACAGTCCTTCAGGACTTTATTAACCTGGACGATCATCATTTACAAACGTAACGATACTCCCGGTTCAAACCATTTACTTTATTAAGCATTAAATGTTATGTACTGGAATACTTGAGTATGCTTCGAAACAGAGAAATGTCCTTTGAAAAACGCGTCGTGCAGTTTTATAACATTCATACTTCCACATTAGTCAATATGTGTCGTAATGTATCCTAAAACATTTCGTAATTTAATGAAAACGACTTCGCGTGACCTAAAGCATAACAAAGAGATAAGTATCTTCGCTGCTGCATGATTCCTTTCGATGAGAGAATGTAACCCTTGGCTAATCTCTTTGATATTTGAAACGAACGTCCAAGACATATTTGGCCATTTGTTTACGCTAATTTGTTCACCATATGGTGTTTCAACGACAATATTCAATTTAAAGTTTTGAAAAATAAAATTTAATGAAGAAAATATAAGGCATCGAGGATAATCTGACGTGTTTATCTTCGAGAGCTCTTCAAGTTGGGCTTGGCCGTTCTATTAAAAAGCTTTTGTTCTATTTTCTTTTCGGGCTCATTGCCAATCGCATCATAACACACTTCATAATCAATCGTAAAACGCTTACTCGTTCATTGATGGAAAGCCAAAACTCAACGAAGAAAAGGTCCAGTAGATAGACGTATTGACAAAAACCCGAAGCTCTCTAGATTACAAATTTCTTCTTTTGAGAGGTTTTAAGATCCTCTTTCATCGGCAGTAATTAATACTAAGTTAACAGTACAACCATTACCTTGAAAGCAAAGAGCAAAACCAACATAACGGTGGCAATGACATGCGTTGACAAACTGTTTACGACATACGCCACATCAGGATTGTGAAAGTTATCTAGAACAATTCTAAATAAAAGAGAATGTTGTCAAAACAATTCAACCTTTAATGCTATAACCAACAACTACAAACAATAACGACCTTATCTAACAACATTTGAGAAACTAACCTTCCACTCCTCTTCCTTGTAAACGAGACAAGTCTACTCAAAGGCAGAGAGCCTTTATGCCCTTCTGCTTTTGAGTAGACTTGTCTCGTTTACAAGGAAGAGGAGTGGAAGGTTAATTTCTCAAATGTTGTTTGATAAGGTCGTTATTGTTTTTAGTTGTTGGTTATAGCATTATATGCTATCATTCTTTTTGTTTAATAACATTCCAACAATTCAACCTTTCATGAAAAATGACAGTAACACCGATGCAAACATTTTGCCTTACCTCAGAAGACCAACTACGATCTTAGCAAACAGAGTGTTATATATACACCAGGCGATGTACTTGCTCTCGTTGTACGCCGAGGGAGCATTTCGTACACGGATACAAAGCCAAACACCCCACAGCAGAAATAAAACCTCGCCTAGGAAAGAAGAAAGGGATACAAAATTTAGTCTCCAGAGAGTAAGAAAATACATGGGAATTATAACAAGTTTCACCATAGATAAACTGGGGATTATCAAAATGGTTTGAACCCGAGAGTATCGTTACATGTTTGTAAATGTAGATCGTCCAGGTTAGTATAGTCAAAAACTCTGAAGATGACTACCGCTAAGGTTGTCGAAACGTCAGTCAACAACAACAAAAACAGTCCTTCTCGAAACTATACCAACCTGGCGATTATCAGTTGTGGTCGTGCCTATAGTCTTAGGAGAGTAAAACTTACAGTTGTAAAGAAAGCCAAGCAAAATAATAAAAGGACTTTACCGATTTCAAAGGCATTAGTGAACCACGGTTTGACGCAGCGCCTGTATTTGTAACCGGAATTTGTCTTTATCGTCTCATATTCGTGATCTTGTGTTAAAGTCCAGATAGCGAAATAAGAGCGTGAGGATCATCAGGTGAAGTAGGATCATCAATAATCTGTTATATACAAAACATAATTTATCCATAGAATCATAGCAAAGTTACGATGGACAGATGAGAGTTATTAACGCTATAAAACTTAAATTCAATATATCGTATAAAGTACCTCAAATCCCGACGATTTCTCGTATCGAAAGGATTCTAAAGTAAAGATGAAAATTAAGATGAGAAATTTCGAAGAATTGAAACTAGAGAATTTTTCAACAAAAAAATGTTGAAAATACCTGTACCACCACAAGATTCTTCAATATCTATGCTCTAAAATAATAGTCATAAAAACGACAATTTCAAAAAGCATAAAAAAACTCAATATTTGTAACTTTGGTGAAAGATACAGGATGAACATGAAACCTTCTCAGAAGACGATGGAACGAGACCATAACCATTTGATGTGAACTTCTTTCAAACAACGTTTGCGTAATCCGTTAGCATACCATGAAAACTAACTTCTGGTTTAGGTGACGCTTTACTAGCAACCTCCTCAACGTCTTCAGGACAATTAACGTGTACTGAACTGGTGTCACAAGGCTCAATGACGATGACCAACCACTAGCCATACCTAACATGTTACCACCAGAGATCTTTCTTGGGTAGATCAAAATTTTAGGAACTTCAGACAAGGGTTGTGTTGAGCTGAGAACTAAAAAAGAACAAATATGGATAGATGATGAAGTGGAGAACAAGAATAGAGGTTATAGAAGACACACTACGTATGCTCATTGGTGTTTCACAAGAGTATACATTACAGGATAACTATGGATTCAAGTAGTCTAAACAACTAGGTACATTTAAGCAATCCATCTTTCCCATCGTAAACACACGTGTCAAAAAAACGTGATCAAATTACAAAATTCGTGCAATCAAATAGTCGGACATGGTATTGTATTTGTAGAAGAGAGCCAATAAAATAAAAAGATTCTCTTGGGGCATTTGTAAATATTAGTTTACAAATACAGATCGACTAATTATAAAGGCAGAAGATGTAAGAGTGAATAAAAACCATTTCCCGTCAAATTACAATAACGCGGAGAGGAAAGGAAACACACAAAAAGATGATGCGGTAGGAATTTTTAAAGTGTTCTTTTTATTGTTTCTGGTTGCACAATTTCATATTAATTTATTTTATTACCACAGTTATATTAACAAAAGTATGTGTACAAATTTATTTATGCCCACAATGTGGTGTAAGGAAAAACACTTATTCGGAGCACATTTTCCAATTTCAAGTCTGGATTCTCTACATCCTTTAATCACAATGTCATATATGTTAATAGAATAGCAGTGTGTCATATGAATCTCAATTTTTTGAACAAGAAAATTAATTTGGGGATTTGGTAAGTTTACATATATTGTAAAACTATGTAGATATAAAAATACGCTATGTTTATGGGTTTTTTTTAATTTATATGTAGAATGAACAAAGTGAAGATATTGCTGAAAATTATGACAAGCACCAAGAGTTAACCACCAAAACACAAGTTTTAATGTACATATTGATATTGTTTCTCATGAAAAGTCATTGGAAGTGGTTATATGTAGGACTGCTTTCACTAGAAATAACTAAAAAATTTTGAAGTAATTTAAAGAAGGCATGCATTATTTAAACACTTATTAAAAGTCTGTACACATTTTAAATTAAATAATGGTCTTTATTTGTAGGACTCTGAAGATATCTTTACCAAGCAATCTATCTCTATTATTACAGAGGAACCCAAACAACCATGTCAACATAGTCAAGTAGTTCTCACATATACAGTTATACTTTATACTGTTTACCACTAGTCATGTTTTTAATGTGTTATAAATTGACAATATGCTTGTTGATTGCTTATGCATGAAACACTGTCTAGCAAAACTTTATTAACATCTGGTAGAAATGTGCTCAACAAACATAAAAATATATTACAATAGATATTTTGAAACAGTGAACATTAATAATTACTGTGTACTTGCTCTTTCAGAGTCATTTGTCACCCACTGGCCACTATACTGGGCTATTGTTACAGTTTGACTTTGCATCAAATGTATCATGTCAGCAATCCTTTGTTGTTCATGATTATAATGCAAACAAAAGAACAATTATGGTGATGTCAAATTTTATTTCCATAATTTCAATGTTGGGTATATACCCAACTAAATGATATTACTCAATACGCTTTTTTTGGTGCTATAATCTGCATGTATTTTTTTCTTCAGCATAATTCATTTGTATTTGTACATCGATATCCCCACCTATTGCTTGATGGCTATGGTTGGATATTGTGCTGCTCATGTGATGCAAATAGAAAGCAATTTGTTGATGCCCTACCTAATAATATACAATTAGATCCTCAAAAAGGTATGTAAAATAGATGTTACTGAAATGAAATGATTAAAACAGGCCAAACAACATTTTTGTACTTGTCAGATATACCATATCCGAGCATACACATATTAGCAATGGAAAAAATATCTGGTTGTGTATGATAGAAAGTTTGGTATTGAAGCCAAAGATTTTATTGAAAAAAGTAAGTGTTGTGTGTTACTCTTTCAGGATATAAGGTGTCTGAACAGCTTCACCAAATTTTGACTTACACTTACATACTATTTGTTTCAAGACCCTTGTCAAAGATGTGAGAACTTGTTACATATTAATCTGACATTGCATGTAGTGAATGTCTCAAATTTGTATTTGGCTTATTTTTCAATGTAAAGTTCTTCATGTGGTATGGGAGAAAATGTCTTCATCCTTAAATATCAGTTTATTGTACATTTCAAACCCTTGTGAAGTCATCCTTCTGTGTTTTACAAGACCCTTGTTCGACATTGTTCTTATTACATGTGGATGTTAACCCGCACAGCTTTACAAGCAAAAATATTGTTAAAACTTGTGAATGATTATTTACACAATATATTTATCTCATGGAATTTCTTTTATGAATGCAGAATCCACATCCATGATGCAGTCTGTTTTCAGTGATCATTCCTACCATGAGATGCAACCTGAAGAAGTATATTTTGTTATGTGAAAATAACTTTTTTGTACAAATACACGTATTGTTTCTCAACCTTCTAATACCCCACAATTTGTTACCATACATCCTGTGCCTAAGTTCAGGAGCTTCTATAAAGCTATTAGGGTGATAACCAACAGGGCAAATTGAATTTATTTATGACTATTGAGGTATACACATTCATACTCACATACATACATAGCCACATACTTACAGTACATACATTAAGTAGTATAAACTAAATGTATGATAAAAATAGTAAAGTCATATTCACCATTTGCTTTACGTGCCTGATATATATTAAGCACTTTCTAAGGATTTTGTGAAGTCATAATTAATCATAATTATTAATCTGCATACACATACACACACACACATACACACACATACATACACATACATACACACACATAATACAACCTTAAAGGTAAATGATTTTACATATTTTAGGACTTGTTTAGTGCAGTGTGCAGGAGGTTCAGTGGATTGCTGTAAAACCAGTGAATAGTCCATGGGGTTTGTACTTTAGTGTATTCAAAAGTAATGCCGCCAGCCCGAGTTAAAATGTTGCAGCTATTCGTCATATCATTGCATTCATGTGACAACCCTTGCAAAAGCCATGCAAATCGTTGACGAGGATGAAATGGATTCTCCATTGGCACTTTTTAAGTTTTCCTTTGGAATTACACCAGATGCGAGACTATTTTGAATTGGCTACACTTAGCAAAGAAAAGGTTTCTTTATTTGAAACAAGTATGCAAGATAATCTGCAATGGTGAACATCCTTTTAGCTTTACATATACTATTTCCTTTATCGGTATGGTATTTAGCACTTTCTAGCATTTTGTAAATATTACTATTTAATTATTTTAGGCAATGAGAATGATGCAAGCGATTTTACTGATCTTCCTGAAAAAAATGGTCATAAAATTTTGGCGCCATCTGAAAGTGGTATTTGTTCTTGTGGTGCAGAGTGGGATAAACGTTCTATTCAAGATGAATGGTTGTACGTAGACTTGTGTTCAGTTGCGTACTTTTGTTCAATCCATGATGTGAAGGGTAAGTTCTGATTTGTTATAGGTTACGCTTCACTTCATAATTATTTGACTTAAATAAATTATTTAGTGTATTGTAGACCTTGCTCCTCTTGTGCTACGAAAAAAGCATTATGATGGCATTGAAAACAGGATTGTATGGTTTGGATCATATGCAATATCTCATGCCGATCTAAAAGATTACATTCGGCTTTTCATAACGGCTTTTCGAGGTACTTTTTAATGAAAATTTGCCGAAGCATTAGTAGCTACGTTTGTCCATTATTTAATTTTCTCGCACTATATCTTTTGAATGTTTTTTCTTTTTTATTCTTGTTCAGTTTACCTATGTACAAATATTATGTTGCATATGTACAAAGGCAAGTGTCTTCGAGTAGTTTGAATTTCCCAAAGGAAATAACTTACGCCAAGTTTCGTCTCGCTATCATTGCCATGATACGGTAAGCATCATTTCATTTTCAGCTGCAAAATATGAATGTTCCATTGAGATAGTGATCGCTTGTTTTATTAAGTTATTGAATTTTCTCTTATTAAGGTTGCTTGATATTGATTTTGACAATGGGTTTTGTGAATTATGTGGAAGAATTCCCAGAAGGTGGTGATGGATGGAACAACTCTTGGAATACAGAAAACTTTCTTACCAAATAATTTAAGAGAGTCTGATACTGGATTGCTAGATTGAAGATAAGTATTTTTGAAGTTTATCTGTAATATATAATATATACAGGTCTGCTAATTAGTAAATACGAGTGTTCATCTACGTATCAGAATGCATTTTATGCATGATGGTGACTTCTCTCATTTTGTTTTTGTACACAGCTTATAGTTATAAAATAACAACCTGTTTTCTTAACAGGTTTGTTCTCATAACAAAGTACATAATCCCTTTTTCCGTGAAGCCCATGGATGCGTTCGTTCATGATGAAAGAGTCATATTGTATAATGAGGCTCTCGTTCATCACGAGAGTTATGAGAAAGTTACGTTGTAAAGGTAATAAGTAAAAACGTATAAACATGCTTAGAGTTTTTAAGTTATAGTTCAAAAAGGCAGAAGTTGTTTGAACCTTTGAAGTATCCTTGACGTTCTAGTTTTTTATGAGAAGAATTCTTGTAAAGAAAAGATAAATTTTGAAAACCAAAGAATCCCGTTTACGTCCATGCCTCCCGATACCCCGAGATAGTTGAGCACTAGAGCGTCGCATGTTAACTAAGGGAACCACATAATCCTTGTTTGTTTTCCATGAAACATATGTATGGTTTGCTCGTAATACATGAGAAACAGTAAATGGGAGAGTTAAATCAGAAAGATATAAACCGATAAAATTGGTATAAAACATGTTTAAGGTTGTCTTTATTTATAAGTGTCAGAAAAGACAGGGTCATAAGAAGTTAATTGAAACATTGCTTGGTTTGTTTTATGAGAAGAAAACAAAAGATAAAATTCGAAAGCAAAACCCCGTTTTCGGTCCATGCTTCCCGATACCTTCTTGAGCGCAAGGCACTAGAACGCCGCATGTTAACGTTTCGGTAGGAGATTTCGGCCCTCCACGCTATCCTACTTGGGAGATGTAATTGAAGAGCTTTCACAAACCTGTAAGATGGTCTCCAGGTTAACAAAACAATCATCGTCAGTTTTCATTACAAAGGAAATACTTAAAGTCGCCGAGAGCCTATTTAAAAAGAAAAGCCGACATGAAGCAAGATCAATATGACATATGACGACTGATGTCGTAGGTAAGGAGATACTGGCGAGATGAATTATACACTAATGCAAGTTATTTGGGCAAAAATAATGTTTAAAGTTGATTTGAGACTGTCCACTTATCGCCAGAAATTTCACAGTGGCATGAAAAAATATAAAAAGTCTCAGACACTCTCTTACCACGAGAAAAACTGAAGCAACTGGGATGGAAGATTTCTGTAAACATCGACATTTGAAACAAAAAGAATATCAGAAATAGTTCTGCTTTCTTTAAGTAAACGTTCATTCTCATCGTCTTTCAATCGCTGCCACTCCGACATTCGAGTTTCTTCTTCCTCTTTTGTCACGACTCTCTTCCCGGAGAATCTACGGAGGATTGCAAGTTGCTACAGACTTTAAAGAAATTTATTCATAAAGCATTGTACCATCTTTTCTTTTAATATTTGGTGAGGGAATATTAGTGTTTGGCACTAGGCTTTAAACTTCATATGAGTCTGCACAGTCCATTTGACAAATTTTTCAATTTCATAGTCATGGTAACGACAAGCTGGATCTATTTTCATCGCTTTCTGAGTGATTAAATCGTTTGGTCACATAAATGTACGCAAAATCATCTGAGCATGCGCAGTACGCTTGGAAATGCGCAGTACAAGCAAAGTCTATTTGACCAATTGTCTGAGTAAACGATCATGGAAATGACCAACTGCATTTATTAGAATCAATTAGGAGTTGATAACTTGCTTACTAACAAATTATTAAAGATATCAACTGAGCATGCGCAGTTCACTTGACAGTTTTTGACTTCATAGTTATGGCAACGACCAGCTGCATCTACAAGCACCGAATTTGAAGTAAATAGCATGCTTAGTAACAATTAAATGGATAAATCATCTGCGCATGCGCAGGTGCATGCGCAGTACATTCGACCAATTGTTTATAGTCATGGCAACGACTAACTATATGTACTTGCACTATATTTGTGGCAATTAGCTCACTTAGTCGCAAATTATCAAAGAAATCATCTGGGCATGCGCAGTAGTGACTTTAATAATACCGCAACTTTCGTAAGCCTCTGAATTTTTGTATATATATAAAGCCAATATTAGGTATAGTAGATGTCAACTAGCAGTGGAAGCTGGGTGCGATATGTATGCAGTGGCTTAGGGGTCCAGACGTTTCGGGTCGCGACCGCACTCTCCCTGCGTACCCCGAGCAAAGCCTATCGCAGGTGATCTCGGGTCTGATGGGCGGAAGCTTGCTATTGCATCTCCCAAGTAGGATAGCGTGGAGGGGCCGAAATCTCCTACCGAAACGTTAACATGCGGCGTTCTAGTGCCTCGGCTTAAGCAGGTATCGGGAAGCATGGACCGAAAACGGGGTTTTTTGCTTTTGAATTTAATCTTTTTTTTTGTATAAAAGAAACTAGAACATTCAAGCATATTGCAAAAGTTAAAAAAAATTCCGCCTTAATGACTTATAATTTAAACCAACTGTAAATATGTTTATACGCTTTTACATGTTAACTTTTACAAGGTAACTATCTCATAACTCTCTCGTGATGAACGAGAGCCTCCTTATACAATATAACTCTCATATCATGAACAAAAGTATCCATGAGCTTCATGGAAAAAATGGATTATCTAATTCTTATAATAGATTTTACAAAGTTAGCATTTAATAAGCCAAGCCATTTGTATCGTTTAAATCAGGTCAGTAGAGTCCTGAGAAGGACTGCTGGTGTTGATGTTGACTGACGTTTCGACAACTTTAGTGGTAGTTATCTTCAGAGTCAAGTGAGGAGTAAACGTCAGGTTTGCCATATTTGTTATCTGCTTGCAGACGTTTACTCCTCACTCGACTTTGAAGATGACAACCACTAAGGTTGTCGAAACATCAGTCAACATCAACACCAACAGCCCTTCTCAGCACTCTACTAACCTGTACAAACATGATAACGATACTCCCGAGCTCAAACAATTCACTTGAATATTTTGATAAATTATCGACTTGTTACTCACCTTTGGCAAAATAAAGTTTTCAATTGCTTTAAACGACGAACCGTTTTCTGTTGTACCAGGGTCTTGGAAAGAGAAATAAACAGATATAATTTCGCTCTGAAACGAGATAAAACAATTTAGATCAAATAACTTGTAAACGGTATTTATAAACTGCATGGTTTAACCTTAGTTGTTCTGTCGTAGAGTCGAACAGAAGAGTTTCTTTTTGAATTCAACGATGATAAAGAGATGCCAAGACGAGTCAAAATAATGGGACGGATGATCTGTATAAAAATAATTGTATTGTATTGCCAACCCAAATTTTACTCCTGAAGCCAAACAGACACTTTATGCAACAGGTTTCAGACTTTGTTCAGAAGGTCCCAAAGTTCAATGCAACAGTGTCCGTTGAGCAGTTCTTAATGGCTACAAATAACTAACTAATACTCACATCAAAGTCCCATCCGATAGATCCACTGTGAAAATATCTCAAATTTTCTTCATTTGCTCGTTTGTAAGCAATTACTTCATTTTCGTAGTCTAAACATCAATATGACAAACATATAAACACGTTTGATCATGCACTCGTTCCAGCCTCTATGACGGTAAAATCTCCATGAGAGATAGCAACACATATTTCCATCAAGACTGTCTGATCTTCGCTACAAATACATACAGCAATGATAAATTCGCAGCAGTGGCTGATTAATAATTATGGAGCATGTAGGCTAAGGCAAAATTACGAGGCCTGGTGATATTTAATCCCTCCACTAAGCTCAGTCTCTTGACAACGTTTGCGTTCTTTACGTTCCTTTGCCTTTGCATTTCCTAGCTTGCGTTTGTAACACATAGTGTGAACGATACAAAAGAAATTAATAGTTCAAAATAAACTTTAAAATTATCAAAACAGTCTGCAGAAATAGGGAAATCCTCGTCAGTTCTTAGCCTCGCGCATTTAAACACTAGATGGTACGAAAGTCTTTTCGTCGATATTCAATCGCACGTACGGTTTTCAACATCATAAATGGTCTAAAACGGCACTTTTAGCAAGTTCCAAGCAGCAAAAGTAAAACTAACAATGTCTTGGTTTACTTTTCGTAATGAGTAATCCGCAACTGATTAACTTTAAATATCACATGTATAGTAGGTTATGTTCGACGTTTGTAAATATGTGCCTCGTTAGTTTATCGCCTGCATCGAGATTCCAACGTCATATTGTTTTATATCGGCTTTTTCCAGGCGCCAAACCTCACAACTATCAAATCAAAAGTAAATTTTCAAACTTGGAGATTCGAATTTCTTTCTTTCGCATTTGTAAGGATCAATGCTGAACTCTGGAGGAACGTAACATGCATTATTTGAAACGATGAACTTCACCAACACTCTAAAACAACAATGGAATAGTAACCAACACTTTATTTTTCAGATTTAGTCATTGTACTTAGTTATATCACTGGTACAATTTTTTTGCGACAGAAACGGTTGTTGGGAACTCTGGCCAAGAAAACCACAGCAAAGAAAGGGATATTTTAGGCAAGTGTACCGTGAACCGTTATTTCTTGTGAATATTCGAGTTTAGCCTCAATACAATGACGTTAGTCAACACAGTTAAATTTATCATATGACAAAGAATGCAGTTTGCATGAGTTGTTCTTGTGTAGAACAAAACTGATAAACGAAACTAAAGACCTTGCTGTTGGTATATTCAATAGGCCATCATAGAAACGCACAACGCTACACTACTTAAAGAATGGCGGTCAGCTAAAAACCAATTCGATTCTACGTAGATCTGACAATTGCTAAAACGTTACTCATATCGGTAATCAGATTAGTTTACCAAACATTTCACTGGTATTGAAGACATACGTTGTAAACGTTCTCTGGTATTGAAGAAATACGTTGTAAACGTTCTCTGGTATTGAAGAAATACTTTGTAAACGCTCTCTGGTATTGAAGAAATACGTTGTAAACGTTCTCTGGTATTGAAGAAATACGTTGTAAACGTTCTCTGGTATTGAAGAAATACGTTGTAAACGTTCTCTGGTATTGAAGAAATACGTTGTAAACGTTCTCTGGTATTGAAGAAATACGTTTAAACGTTCTCTGGTATTGAAGAAATACGTTTTAAACGTTCTCTGGTATTGAAGAAATACGTTGTAAACGTTCTCTGGTATTGAAGAAATACGTTGTAAACGTTCTCTGGTATTGAAGAAATACGTTGTAAACGTTCTCTGGTATTGAAGAAATACGTTGTAAACGTTCTCTGGTATTGAAGAAATACGTTGTAAACGTTCTCTGGTAGAAGAAATACGTTGTAAACGTTCTCTGGTATTGAAGAAATACGTTGTAAACGTTCTCTGGTATTGAAGAAATACGTTGTAAACGTTCTCTGGTATAGAAGAAATACGTTGTAAACGTTCTCTGGTATTGAAAAATACGTTGTAAACGTTCTCTGGTATTGAAGAAATACGTTGTAAACGTTCTCTGGTATAGAAGAAATACGTTGTAAACGTTCTCTGGTATAGAAGAAATACGTTGTAAACGTTCTCTGGTATTGAAGAAATACGTTGTAAACGTTCTCTGGTAATGAAGAAATACGTTGTAAACGTTCTCTGGTATAAGAAATACGTTGTAAACGTTCTCTGGTATTGAAGAAATACGTTGTAAACGTTCTCTGGTATTGAAGAAATACTTTGTAAACGTTCTCTGGTATTGAAGAAATACGTTGTAAACGTTCTCTGGTATTGAAGAAATACTTTGTAAACGTTCTCTGGTATTGAAGAAATACGTTGTAAACGTTCTCTGGTATTGAAGAAATACGTTGTAAACGTTCTCTGGTATTAAAGAAATTCGTTGTAAACGCGACAGGCCAATTTGAAACACTGTTCTACACTTTACCTTCACAAATATTGTGTTTGCTGTAACGTTTCACACGCTAAGTAGCTCTAATTGAATACAAAACACACTACAGCTACCCTCAAGAAAATTCAGTGTTTTCCTGTGCTTACCTTTTATTTAGAGATGAATGTCGTCTTGCATAGCCAACCCATGATTCACGTAAACTTTGCCTCAAATCAAAGTTGCCGCGCGATGAAAGTATTCCAACGACCAAATCATAATGAGAATAATTCTCTGCTGTCAAGAACATTATTTTAAAACATTAAAGAAAACAAGTGGAAACACAAATACAAAATGGACTATGTAGGATAAAGTTTTTAGATAACATGGTTAAATAACACTAGCGAAAGTTTCAATAAAAGATCACTCTTGATGAAAACATAAGACTGGAGTATATAAGGACTCAAGATTCAACATCAGATCACTCCTGATGAAGACACTAGACTGGAGTATATAAGGACTCAAGATTCAACATCAGATCACTCCAGATGAAGACATTAGTCTGGAGTATATAAGGACTCAAGATTCAACATCAGATCACTCCTGATGAAGACACTAGACTGGAGTATATAACGACTCAAGATTCAACATCAGATCACTCCTGATGAAAACATAAGACTGGAGTATATAAGGACTCAAGTTTCAACATCAGATCACTCCTGATGAAGACACTAGACTGGAGTATATAAGGACTCAAGTTTCAACATCAGATCACTCCTGATGAAGACACTAGACTGGAGTATATAAGGACTCAAGATTCAACATCAGATCACTCCTGATGAAAACATAAGACTGGAGTATATAAGGACTCAAGATTCAACATCAGATCACTCCTGATGAAGACACTAGACTGGAGTATATAAGGACTCAAGATTCAACATCAGATCACTCCTGATGAAAACATAAGACTGGAGTATATAAGCACTCAAGTTTCAACATCAGATCACTCCTGATGAAGACACTAGACTGGAGTATATAAGGACTAAAGTTTCAACATCAGATCACTCCTGATGAAGACACTAGACTGGAGTATATAAAGACTCAAGTTTCAACATCAGATCACTCCTGATGAAGACACTACGCTAGAGTATATGTAAACTTATCTTTCAAAAACATATCGTTTATACTCAAGATATTAGATAGACGTACGACAATCTATAATGTCATATAAATCACGATAAAAAATCTGGTCCCCGGAGTCGACATGCTATCAGGCAGGCAACAAACAAAGATGAGATAGCTGTACAAACCTGTATTATCGCAGCAAAGCTTCAAATCTTTAACAACAAGATGATTATAGATGTATAACACGAAAATAGCGATCAATCTTAGTAAAGTTGGCTTAAGGATGTCATTTAATGTAAACATAAGTTGAAATTAAACAGTTACAATTAACTATAGCGTATAAATATCTTTCCCTATGTAAAATAATCTATACATTATCCTCAATAACGAACTATACCACATTATTGCATTTTAATATATACGAACTTTGACCTCGGGTGTGTTGTCATTTAACAAAGTTTTCATATTCATAGTGATGGCAACAACAAGCTGGACCTATTTTCATCACTTACTGAGTAATTAATCGCTTGGTCACAAAAATATAAGAAGATCATCTGAGCATGCGCAGTACGCTTGGGCATGCGCAGCACGCTCAAGCATGCAAAGTCCACTTGACCAATTGTCCGAGTTGATAGTCATGGAAACGACCAACTACATTTACTAGCATCAATTAGGGAGTATATAACTTGCTTATTAACAAACTATTAAAGATATCAACTGAGCATGCGCAGTTAAATTGATTGGCTGCCAATGTTCATGGTCATGGCAACGACCAATTGCATCTACTAGCCCCGATTTTGAAGTAAATAGCATGTTTAGTAACAATTTAATGGAGAAATCATCTGCGCATGCGCTCGAGCATGCGCAGCCCACTCGACTAATTGTTTATAGTCATGGCAACGACTAACTAGATGTACTTGCACTACATCTGGGGCAATTATCCCACTTAATCGCAAATTATCAAAGAAATTATCTGGGCATGCGCAGTTGTGACTTTAATAATACCACAAATTTCGTAAGCCTCTGAATTTTTGTATATATAAATATAAATCTATAGCTTCATATAGTAGATGTCAACTAGCAGTGGAAGCTGGGTGCGATATAGTATGCAGTGGCTTAGGGTCCACACTTCGGTGGCGACCGCACTCTCCTGCGTACCCCGAGCAAAGCCTATCGCAGGTGATCTCGGGTCTGATGGGCGGAAGCTTGCTATTGCATCTCCCAAGTAGGATAGCGTGGAGGGGCCGAAATCTGCTACCGAAACGTTAACATGCCGCGTTTTAGTGCCTTACGCTTAAGAAGGTATCGGGAAGCATGGACCGAAAACGGGGTTTTTTCCTTTCAAAATTTGTCTTTTTTCTTTACAAGAATTCTTCTCATAAAGAAACTAGAACATACTGCCAAGGTTCAGACAACTTCTGAAAATCCCGGGCGTAGTTTCGTTTTCTTTGTAAAACGAGAAGAATACTAACTTGAAAACATGAAGACTGGGTGACATAATATTTACCATAAACTAAGACAAGAAATGTTTATTTTACTCTGTGACATCACTTTATATTAAAGTGAAAGGTTTGAACATGGGAGTATCGTTACATGTTTGTAGATGTAGATCGTCCAGGTTAGTAAAGTCCTGAAAAGAACTGTTGTTGTTGATGCTGACTCTAAAGATGACTACCGCTAAGGTTGTTAAGAAGTCAGTCAACATCAACATCAACAGTCCTTCGCAGGACACCACTAACCTCGACGATCTACATCTACAAACATCTACTTCACTTACTCGGCTATCTTCTTTAATTCAAGACTACAGTGTGTTACATCGTTGTCGACAAAGCTACAATGGAAAATAGGGAAAAAGTTGTACATCGGAAAAGAAAACCATGTCATCAACATAGAAGTGAACAAAAATTTCTAACAAACACCGTCAATTTTCGTCAAAATAAAATTTCGTGTATTTTTCAGTTGTACCTTAAATCCAAAATTTGAGTGGCTGGTGATATGATACTGGTCTGTGATGAAACGGTGAACATTAATTTTGATTATTAAAAATTATCTACAATGCAATCGTTTGCAATCAATTTCTATATAGCTGCACACCTCTCTATTTAAGCAACATGTTTGTATAACTTGCACAAACGACTATATTGTGGTATGGAAATAAAGCAGTAGACGTAAAGGTACAAAGTACTGAGAAGAGGGATATACTTCACGAGGCAAATTGTTGTTTTATATTGTATATGATGACAGGTTGCGGTAAGCCATTTCGGCGTTCCTTTGGCCAGAAAACATAATTGACCGGCAGCCATTTCGTTGATCACGTGCACAAGAAGACATAAGTTACATACAAACAAATGGTAAATTTTGTAAATAGCTTTGGCTGATGGCGGACCAATATACTGTTTGATGTCGGCTCTGTGGGCGAACAAATAGCGAAGTTAGATGAGAAAGTGAATTAAAAAACTTTCGAGTCACAAACATATTTTTCAACCTGTCCACGAACGCAACGTCTATGGCTCTAGTTATGTTCGATGTTGTCAATATAATTACATTAGGATGTCTGAAATAAGAAGAAAACAACATTGGGGAAGACTAGGTTTAGCAAATAAACGCATAAATGTAGTTCAAATCAAGACTTCTGTAAATACGTAATTGATAGATAATAAGTATTTGACTGAGCAAAGTTGTCATCAAGCAAGTTTGTTCATGTCATATAAATATTTTCGTGCTTTTACTCCCTGTAAAAGCGACAACATTGTAGAGAAAGAAATAATACATAGTTCTAAAGATAGCAAATACCATAGTGAATGGTAAATGTAATATAATAAGGAAGATTGTTTTACTCTTGAACACAATACATAGAGACACATATATATAAGGATTTCCGGTTGTATTTCATAGTTGATACATCTTGACTTACAATTCACTGACTGACAACGTCAATCAAAACATGAACGACTTATTATATAGAATGTAAACGGTCCATATAAAACATCCGTTTCCCAAAAAATTAATGCCATTTCCAACCACCCAATCTTCCTCCAAGAATGAACAAACAGTAAGTTCTTATTAATTGTATTCATACAAATTCTATTAGTTTACATCGAAGTTTCGAATACTTGGCTATCATTTGAAAAATTGTTTTGATTTAGTCAAATTTTATATTACATACGTATGATCTTATTTTAATTACAAAAAATTTCTATGAGAATATCAAGTGTACGCTGCTTGAAATTTTGTGCAAGTTATTTCAAAATAGGTGGCAGAAGTCTCTTTGGAATACTTGAATTTCTTTTGAAATTCTTCACTAAATTAGAGAGCGAGGGAACTCTCTAGTTTAGTTAGAATATTGTAAAAATCTTTTATGTGCATGTTTTTGTGTTTTGTGCATGTTTATGATCATCTGCAAACACCGAAGAATGGAAGTCGAAAATTTTGTCTTCTCGAAACATGCCTTCTTTAAATTTTAATATCTTCTCCAAAATAAGTAATAAATATTGGTTTAACTTACTGCAAGAAGCGTTGCTTGACAATGACAGGTTACGGCCATGTGATTCTGAAAGAAATTGAAGCAAAGAAGATTTGATGAACGATACAAACAAATACATGCTTACATCTCTGTTCTGCTATTCTTGATCTTATCGACCTCTGCATCTGAAAAATACTGAGGAAAAAGTTGCAGTATGATGAAGCAAACAAGCAAACAACTGACAAACAAACACATACCGCAGTCTCAATCTTCATCGTTCAGTGCCATGAATAACTGTAAGAATAATGTTAAAATACAATCACGACGAACTGTAGGAGCATATATATTTTCAAAAACCAGTGTTTGCAGACGATCTGTCGAAATTTCTATCAAAACTGGTACTTTACGATGATTTCAGAAAACAGCTGTAAACTGCAAACATTTACAGGAAAGGTTTACTTTTATGGCACAAAAGTTACTGTCAGATTTTTCAAACGAAGTCAATCATCTCCATTGAACATAATGGACAGACGAGCATTCATGACGAGCCCTCAAGTTGATTCGAAAATTTGAAACAGTTTCCTCTCCCGAGGAATTATCTTTATGATTGCAATAGTTCTATACAATCATGCAAAATAGCTATTTTGGCTAAATCATTTACCAAACATTAGAACATCACCGGAAGTTAAATTTTTTATTGCTTTGTAGACACTGTTATAACATCCCTCAATATTATAACAGTGCAATCATAGGCACAAATAAACCATTAAATATATCAAAGTAGACGGCTAGTCTGACTGGCTCGTGATAATCATTTCGCATAGATGTTGAGTTTAAAGATTTTTGCAATACTCTGCCAGCGTATTGCAATTTCTCTTTTCAACCATGATGATTGATTTAATGTAAATTAGATTTTGTTTTAATTTTACACAAGATATGAGCGCAAGAAGCACTCTTATATTACTGCACGAGAAGGTGCTTTTGGTGCTGTCTTTGGTCATACTAGTCTTACAGCACAAGCAAAAGTGATTATTAATTGTGAAACAAGACAGAATAAATGAAGGATTAGAATGAACATGAGCATAAACGAAACAATATTCAAAAGAATTTCCGTTTTCCTGGTCTTTTAGGTCTCGCGAGAAAACAAAATTGAATGCATGGTACACACGAATAGAATAAGCATAAACGATAAAACTTTATTTCTTTTTCTCTTCAGAGTTTACACAGAAAGACATGGAAATCTTCTTTCGTTTTTCTCTTGTTCTTTTTGTGTTCTTCTTTCAGCTAATGCCTAACACATTTCCTTAAGCCTGTGTAATGGTGTAACTTCGCTCTTTTGAGTGGGTGGGAGGAGCTTTAGGAATAAATTTGCCCATAAAAAGCGTGGTGTTATTTTTTATGTTGTTTCCTAAGCTGAAAGAAGTATAAAATATTGAAAAGAAGAATATGATTTTTGATGTTTTTTTCTGTAAACCCTCGAGAGAGTCATAAGCACGCTCGTTGCTTATGCTTGTGATTACGTAGATGTTAATGTTCCAACTTTTGCTTATTGTTTTTAACACTTTATTGACACTTGACACAACATTCAAAAATAGATATATTCTATTCAAACAGTTCATGAAAAAAATTATTGCTTTGTTCAGACAGTTGGATTGGCTGGATTTGAACAGGACGTTCTATACGAGAAGGGATTACGTTGGTTTTATTCAGTTATTTTGGGGATGATTGACGTATTATCAGTGTACCGTATGTCAAGAAGCATCCTATGGTGACACAGGTGAGCCATCACCCCTCAGATTAAGCTCTAGGATATGTTTGCTACAATGACGGAATCGTTGTAACAAAGTCTTCTGTTCTTACTTCATATGCTTCATCTTGTTTTATACAGTTTTCCAAAATGACTCAACTGTAAATATTGTAAAACAAGCACGATTAAAAGCGTGTATATAAATTTGTAAAAATTTAAGAATTGCCCAAGAATTTGTCCAAACAATTAATTTTTTGAGAAATATCCAGAAATTTCCTTCAAATAGGCCATTCTTTTCTGAGAAATTTCCTTAGAAATAAGACCACATTTGACCATCGTTATCATGTTAACTACTTCATGTAAAAGTTATATATCGTCTTCCAAGAAAACAACATAATTTTTTTAATTTTAAACCTCACAAGCATTCGTTCTCCGCAAGAATATTTCTCTCCACATATCTGTTGTAAAAGAGTGAAAGACAAATAATATTTTAAAGAACATATAAAGTTTTTTTTGAAAGCTGAAACAAGGTAATAGATATATATGTTATTGTTATGCCTGAGTCTGACTTTGAGTTTCATAGCAGTAAATTGAAACGATATTTATTTTTTATTTCTATATAGCAAAGATATTTAAGTTTTTTTTCCTACACAGCCAATATTGTGAATAATCTTTTGTATAACATCTCTAACTAAAGCAATATCGTTAAAATGGATAAAGTTCAAGAACTTTCTGAAGCACTGCCTTTACCAAGTCAGCCATTCTTAAACGTCGAAGTAAATGAATGCAAAGAAAGGTTAGTTCATAATATGAACAAAGGACTGTATGCAGAAGGATATTGAATTGCATTTCATGTAATAATCTAGTTGAGTGAGTCTGTGTTAGTGAAACCATGCTACAGGTGAAACTAGGTAATGAACAAATCATGTTTTTGTTTTGTAAAGAAACTTGAATAATTTTAATATGTTACTAGATTGACGTCACTGGTCATATGTTGTGCTTCAACAGACTCACTTCTTCAAATACCACTGTGCTGTCAAAACGTGAACAAAACCATTTATTCAATTTAATAATAAGCATTAACATCTTAATAGTATTTACCACTTTATTTTAGCACTATCCCAGAGTATAGAATTATAAAGCTTGTCAAAGACTTTCTTATCAACATGTGTGTACTGCAACTAATGTGTGTACTGCAACTAATATTGCCACGTAATTTTATTGTTATGTCGTGAATTATAAATACAAAGTATAATCCGAAAAAGGACATGTTGTAAACTCAACATCAAATTTAGAAAACAAGACGATTAAAAATGTAAATATTACGCTTTCAATTGTTTTGCTTTGTAACTTTTATTTAAGTTTACAAGATTAACAATATAGCCCTTGATAAAGGGTTGGATGGTCAAAATTATAAATGTCATGGTTGTTCCAGACCAATTGGAATGAGTATGATCAATGAATTCTCGACTTGTTATTTGCTAATAACTCAAATATATTTATTTTCAAATTTCTTATCTTAATAAATGTTATCTTTGTAGAAACTATTATAACAAAGTACATAATCCCTTTTTTCCGTGAAGCCCATAGATGCGTTCGTTCATTATGAAAGAGTTATATTGTATAAGGAGGCTCTTGTTCATCACGAGAAAGTTATGAGAAAGTTACGTTGTAAAAGGTAATAAGTAAAAAACGTATAAACATGCTTAGTGTTTGTTTAAGTTAAAGTTCAAAAAGGCAGAAATTTTTTGAACCTTTGAAGTATCCTTGGACGTTCTAGTTTTTTTTATGAGAAGAATTCTTGTAAAGAAAAAGTTAAATTTTGAAAACCAAACAATCCCGTTTTCGGTCCATGCCTCGGGGTTCAACAAAAAGGGATGTGTGACATACCAGGGGGGTGTGAACAACCTACTCTCACACATGCGAAAGTAAATATTGTCTGATCATAGGGTCAATAACCTTGCCATATGTTGAAAAATTATCTGTGTCATACACAATAGTTATGCTCTTGACATGTTCCATTAAAAAAGGATCAACAAATTCTACGAAACATGAGTCGCCATGAATTGTTTTCATGTTGATAAGAAAGTCTTTGACAAGCTTTATAATTCTGTACTCTGGGATAGTGCTAAAATAAAGTGGTAAATACTATTAAGATGTTAATGCTTATTATCAAATTGAATAAATGGTTTTGTTCACGTTTTGACAGCACAGTGGTATTTGAAGAAGTGAGTCTGTTGAAGCACAACATATGACCAGTGACGTCAATGTAGTAACATATTAAAATTATTCAAGTTTCTTTACAAAACAAAAACATGATTTGTTCATTACCTAGTTTCACCTGTAGCATGGTTTCACTAACACAGACTCACTCAACTAGATTATTACATGAAATGCAATTCAATATCCTTCTGCATACAGTCCTTTGTTCATATTATGAACTAACCTTTCTTTGCATTCATTTACTTCGACGTTTAAGAATGGCTGACTTGGTAAAGGCAGTGCTTCAGAAAGTTCTTGAACTTTATCCATTTTAACGATATTGCTTTAGTTAGAGATGTTATACAAAAGATTATTCACAATATTGGCTGTGTAGGAAAAAAAACTTAAATATCTTTGCTATATAGAAATAAAAAATAAATATCGTTTCAATTTCCTGCTATGAAACTCAAAGTCAGACTCAGGCATAACAATAACATATATATCTATTACCTTGTTTCAGCTTTCAAAAAAAACTTTATATGTTCTTTAAAATATTATTTGTCTTTCACTCTTTTACAACAGATATGTGGAGAGAAATATTCTTGCGGAGAACGAATGCTTGTGAGGTTTAAAATTAAAAATTGTTATGTTGTTTTCTTGGAAGACGATATATAACTTTTACATGAAGTAGTTAACATGATAACGATGGTCAAATGTGGTCTTATTTCTAAATTCTCAGAAAGAATGGCCTATTTGAAGGAAATTTCTGGATATTTCTCAAAAAATTAATTGTTTGGACAAATTCTTGGGCAATTCTTAAATTTTTACAAATTTATATACACGCTTTTTTACGGTGGCCCATAAGGGACACAATACTTCCATGCAAAATAATATGTTTTCCATGGAACATTTAATATTTCCGTGCAAAATACTATGTTTTCCATGGAACATTTAATATTTCCGTGCAAAATACTATGTTTTCCATGGAACATTGTTGCTTCGCCTTACAATATTGCTTGTTTTCCGTGCAACGTTCAAACTTGTGCGCGCGCATGAATTGAATATAATGCAGTTACTTGAAGTTTAGAGGAAATCTATTTGGTAAATCTAATCATTGAATCTCATAAAACACGAGTCTGAAAGTGGAATTTTTATAGCAAAATGTTCTGCCAAAGTTGTGGAACAAAGCTTTTGGATAAAGCCAAATTTTGCCACAACTGTGGATTTTGTGCATTATCAGATGTCGGTAAGTACACAACCCTATAGTTTATAAAATACAAGTGCACGAACGTTCGTTCAATTGTAAAATGGAAGTTGTTCATTCTACTTTTTATTTATTTAAAATCTTCTTATCTATCCCTATTCTTCTCATATTTTTGGCTGTTGTATTATTTTCTTAAACAATATATTTCAAACTGTTTTTGAACACAGAAATAGGCTCAAAACCTCCAAGCAAGACCATTGGAGTAAAGCCCCTTTCATTTGAAGAGTTTCGTAAGAAGAAAGAGGAAGACAGATCATCAAAATTTAAGCCAAAACCTGGTGGAAAAAAAGCAAAGTTGTCAAAAGAGGTGAAGGTGCAGGTTGGAATTGTGAATGACAAAAATGGAGATGGATGGTGTATTGGTAAGGGTGAAGTCAAGGACAATAACAATTGCAGTTGATGAAGATGTTGATGGAAATGCTCTTCTTGAAAAAGCAATTGATAAACATTCAAGACATCATAAACAATTTAACAAGTATAAAAAATATGTTCTTTTGTATAATGACATGTCAATTGTGAGGTATTTACCCCAGACCAACATACCATTTGTGCTTTCAAAATATAAAGAAGATTTGTTGCTGCCATACTCCAAAATGTATTTCTGGCTATGTACAGAAGATGATTTTGAAAATTCAATTTCTGATGAAAGTTCTGACAAGGAACTTGAAGAGATTTCGATGAAGTATCATGAGTCTCAACCTTCAACATCAAAGTCATTGGCCACAACAGGTTGTGGGATTTCAATGAAGATGCAAGTAATAAAATCCTCCAATCCTCTTCTTTGTCTTCTCAAAGTTCATTTACCTCAACGTCTCAAGTTTGTAGTATGTCACAAGGACAATTGTCTCAGCATGGAATAGAAAAATATCTATTGCAACATCAATGCCCTACATGTCTTGGATACTATTCACGTGCAGACATAGAGGCTCATGCAGACATGTGTGCAGAAAGGTGGATAGACCCAATTGGCAAGTTATCAGATGACAATCAAAATAACCTGGAAAACACACTCATTGCTGAAGAGGAAATTGGACAGCCGACTGTTGCCACTATGCAAGAAGTGGTTCATCTAATTCAGGACAATGTTAACAGATTGTCGACCAACAGAGTTACTATTCGTAGGCGATTAGCTTTTGCAGATTATGTGGATGCACGGAAACGAAAATGGTTTGCTGAAGGAGGAAATCTTAAAATTTGTTTTGCCGGTGAACCTTCTATTGATGGTGGTGGCCCAAGGAGGGAGTTTTTCACAGGTGAGAAAGTCAGTGAAGATTTTTTTCAATTCATACTGTACAACTGTGCAAAGAAACTAATATGTAGTAATTTGAATATTTGTTTTTATACCTTGTTTAATGCTAAGTCTGTTTCATTGTATTGACAGATGTCCTACAACACATTAAGTCAACTTTGTTTGATGCAAATGGTTATCCACTGTTTAGTGCACGAGCACTAGCAAATGAAGACTTCATGGTTGCTGGTGAGTTAATATCATCCTCTCTGGCACAGGGAGGACCAGCCCCATGCTTCTTGGCAAAGAATGTATTTAATTATGTGGCTGAAGGGGTAAATAGCATACAGGCCAACAACTGGTTGGAGTTGGTTCATGATGCTAATTTCAAAGATGAAATTGATAAGGTAAAAAATATGCACTCATTGAGAAAAGCAAGCAAATTTCACTTTAAAATATCTCAAAGCTGTGCTTAAAGAATAGAAAAATTAACTCTCATTTGTTCTACTTATTACCATAGCATTCTTAATTGCATTCAGTTAGTTAAATGTGAGAGTGATGAGGAGCTGAGGACATTGCTTTGCTCAGATGACATGATGAACATTCTGCAATCAATCGGCTACAGGGGTGTTCCCTCCAAGGAGAAATTGGCCTCACGAGACAACATTATTCGGTATAAAACCATGGTCATGTTTTCATACATACAGTTCAATCTACATTGTTCATCTTTTTTGACACATCAATATCTTTTGTTGTAGGTCGATTGTAATTGCAGGAATTGGCCATATGCTGGCAATGATGGACCAATTAAAAACTGGTCTTACACTTTTTGGGGTTCTGCAGCAAATTCAACATCACCGGAGATAATGGCATCAATGCTTACACTGGATGGTGTTGCTAATTTTGCTTGACTGCAGACATTGTTCTTGAAAATATGACTGTAGAGTTTAGCCCGAAGGAAGCAACAAAAGCAATTGGAAATAAATGTCCACAAATTTTTTTGTGACTATATTCAAGAATTGGACACAAAAGGTGAATGAGAGATAAATGCAATTGTACCTACTTTAATGGCTTTTGACTATCTTAAACACTTTTCCTTTATAGACACTAGCACATCATTAAAAACGCTGTACAGATTCATCACTGGAAGCCACTCTGTAACACCACTGGGAGCAGAAAAGCACATCACTGTCAAATTTAAGCATGGCTGCCCTGCGTAAATGCCGTCCAACTGCTGCTACATGTGACCCAAGTATCTGCTTTCCAATTCACTTTGATAATACTAATGATTTTGACTTAGCGATGGACAATGCCTTACTGGAGTATTCGATTTGGTTTTATATGAACTTGAAAACAAAGTCCTTCAATGTACATATGATATTGTTCTGTTGTCAAAAGAATACTTTTTGCAAACTTCTTAAGTACTGCATATTAACTACACATAACTCATCAAATTATCAAAAATATTTGTAGCATCATTATAGTCTTCTGGAAACTCTAGTTGTTGAATGTCCACTAAGTAATTAAAATAGTCTTGGAATATTTTCCCATTTTCAGTTTCTTGCTGTGCAATTCTCATTTCAACTTCCTGCAGCTTCTCATCAGGGACTTGGACTAGACAATCAAAGCCTCCATATTGCTCTGGGATGGAAAACAATATATCAGGTACTCCAGAGACAGTTTCATGTCTTGACGGTCTTATATGATGTGTATTCCAATATAATTGCACTTCATCAAGAGAACTTTGAACAACTCCATTAAAGGCAAACCATAAACATTGTTTAACATTGTCATCACACAAGTTCAGCTGCCTTTGCTGAACAAAGTCTTTAAAAAACTGGATCCACCAACTTGTACATGACTTTTTAAGATGTGACCACCAGTTTTCAATTCTCTGATTATGGGTAGATGTCCCGAATGTATGAGCTTGTTCTCCTTCCATTGGCCAACTATCATTGGCTCGAAAATAGCATTGAGCAGCAGCAATCACACCATTTTCAGTACCACAATCAGATCTTATTTGAAGTGGACAACCTCTGTATCTTCTGACAGCATCCAAGTAGAGCTGTGCAACTGATTCAGGAGCATTGTTTGACTTTACCACTTCCAACCATAAAACCTTCCGGCTGAAGCCATCAACAGCACCATGGATAGGAAAACCAAATGGCTTCAATTTATCATATCCTGTTGGTAGTCAATTATAATTCATATGCTAAATTTTGTCACTGAAGTACATATATAAACAAATTTTACATGAAAAAACATACCATCAATATGCCAGCATTGATTTGGACCTTGAGAAATATACTGACGCCTTTGAAGCCTTTTCCTTCTTCTTCTAATACTTGCCTCTGGGTCAAGTTGTCTTAGAATTGTCGCAACAAGTTGCCGGGGAACGTGCACATGATGTTTAATTCGAAGAATGTGCCACATCTTCCGATAACCGGCTAATGAACCTCCAGCAGCTTGCATTTCTTGCCTCAGAAGGGTTCTCACATTGTCCTCAGATATGTTTTCATTTCGACGAGACAAATGATATGATTTCAAACGTCTTTTGAGAGTACGAACAGTCATTTCAATACCATGTTTCTTCATCAGCAAACAAACAATGAGGTCGTATTTATATCCAGCATGAAAATAATTTTCAATAATTTCTCGTTCATTCTCTGTTGCTAACAAAATTATATTGCATTTAAGGCCACATGTGAATAATAAACAGAATTTAGTATTTAAGAAATATCTTACCCGTTTGTGTAATTCCACATGAAGGACAAAACGCAATGTGAACTTGACAAGGAAACTCTACTAAGCAATGTTTACAAGCTGCCATATTGATTCGATTGGGTTCGATTCTTCGATTCGATGGACTCGATGGTTTCGATCACAATGTTTTTGATCCATTTCTAGATCTTAATATGCGCGCGCACAAGTTTGAACGTTGCACGGAAAACAAGCAATATTGTACGGCGAAGCAACAATGTTCCCTGGAAAACATAGTATTTTGCACGGAAATAATAAATGTTCCATGGAAAACATAGTATTTTGCACGGAAATATTAAATGTTCCATGGAAAACATAGTATTTTGCGTGGAAATATTAAATGTTCAATGAAAAACATATTATTTTGCATGGAAGTATTGTGTCCCTTATGGGCCACCGTACTTTTTAATCGTGCTTGTTTTACAATATTTACAGTTGAGTCATTTTGGAAAACTGTATAAAACAAGATGAAGCATATGAAGTAAGAACAGAAGACTTTGTTACAACGATTCCGTCATTGTAGCAAACATATCCTAGAGCTTAATCTGAGGGGTGATGGCTCACCTGTATCACCATAGGATGCTTCTTGACATACGGTACACTGATAATACGTCAATCATCCCCAAAATAACTGAATAAAACCAACGTAATCCCTTCTCGTATAGAACGTCCTGTTCAAATCCAGCCAATCCAACTGTCTGAACAAAGCAATAATTTTTTTCATGAACTGTTTGAATAGAATATATCTATTTTTGAATGTTGTGTCAAGTGTCAATAAAGTGTTAAAGAAAACAATAAGCAAAAGTTGGAACATTAACATCTACGTAATCACAAGCATAAGCAGCAGCGTGCTTCTTCTACAGAAAAAACATCAAAATCATATTCTTCTTTTCAATATTCTTTCAGCTTAGGAAACAACATAAAAAATAACACCACGCTTTTATGGGCAAATTTATTCCTAAAGCTCCTCCCACCCACTCAAAGAGCGAAGTTACACCATTACACAGGCTTAAGGAAATGTGTTAGGCATTAGCTGAAAGAAGAACACAAAAAGAACAAGAGAAAAACGAAAGAAGATTTCCATGTCTTTCTGTGTAAATTCTGAAGAGAAAAAGAAATAAAGTTTTATCGTTTATGCTTATTCTATTCGTGTGTACCATGCATTCAATTTTGTTTTCTCGCGAGACCTAAAAGACCAGGAAAACGGAAATTCTTTTGAATATTGTTTCGTTTATGCTCATGTTGATTCTAATCCTTCATTTATTCTGTCTTGTTTCACAATTAATAATCACTTTTGCTTGTGCTGTAAGACTAGTATGACCAAAGACAGCACCAAAAGCACCTTCTCGTGCAGTAATATAAGAGTGCTTCTTGCGCTCATATCTTGTGTAAAATTAAAACAAAATCTAATTTACATTAAATCAATCATCATGGTTGAAAGAGAAATTGCAATACGCTGGCAGAGTATTGCAAAATCTTTAAACTCAACATCTATGCGAAATGATTATCACGAGCCAGTCAGACTAGCCGTCTACTTTGAATATTTAATGGTTTATTTGTGCCTATGATTGCACTGTTATAATATTGAGGGATGTTATAACAGTGTCTACAAAGCAATAAAAATTTAACTTCCGGTGATGTTCTAATGTTTGGTAAATGATTTAGCCAAAATAGCTATTTTGCATGATTGTATAGAACTATTGCAATCATAAAGATAATTCCTCGGAGAGGAAACTGTTTCAAATTTTCGAATCCAACTTGAGGGCTCGTCATGAATGCTCGTCTGTCCATTATGTTCAATGGAGATGATTGACTTCGTTTGAAAAATCTGACAGTAACTTTTGTGCCATAAAAGTAAACCTTTCCTGTAAATGTTTGCAGTTTACAGCTGTTTTCTGGAAATCATCGTAAAGTACCAGTTTTGATAGAAATTTCGACAGATCGTCTGCAAACACTGGTTTTTGAAAATTTATATGCTCCTACAGTTCGTCGTGATTGTATTTTAACATTATTCTTACAGTTATTCATGGCACTGAACGATGAAGATTGAGACTGCGGTATGTGTTTGTTTGTCAGTTGTTTGCTTGTTTGCTTCATCATACTGCAACTTTTTCCTCAGTATTTTTCAGATGCAGAGGTCGATAAGATCAAGAATAGCAGAACAGAGATGTAAGCATGTATTTGTTTGTATCGTTCATCAAATCTTCTTTGCTTCAATTTCTTTCAGAACCACATGGCCGTAACCTGTCATTGTCAAGCAACGCTTCTTGCAGTAAGTTAAACCAATATTTATTACTTATTTTTGGAGAAGATATTAAAATTTAAAGAAGGCATGTTTCGAGAAGACAAAATTTTCGACTTCCATTCTTCGGTGTTTGCAGATGATCATAAACATGCACATAAAAGATTTTTTACAATATTCTAACTAAACTAGAGAGTTCCCTCGCTCTCTAATTTAGTGAAGAATTTCAAAAAGAAATTCAAGTATTCCAAAAGAGACTTCTGCCACCTATTTTGAAATAACTTGCACAAAATTTCAAGCAGCGTACACTTGATATTCTCATAGAAATTTTTTGTAATTAAAATAAGATCATACGTATGTAATATAAAATTTGACTAAATCAAAACAATTTTTCAAATGATAGCCAAGTATTCGAAACTTCGATGTAAACTAATAGAATTTGTATGAATACAATTAATAAGAACTTACTGTTTGTTCATTCTTGGAGGAAGATTGGGTGGTTGGAAATGGCATTAATTTTTTGGGAAACGGATGTTTTATATGGACCGTTTACATTCTATATAATAAGTCGTTCATGTTTTGATTGACGTTGTCAGTCAGTGAATTGTAAGTCAAGATGTATCAACTATGAAATACAACCGGAAATCCTTATATATATGTGTCTCTATGTATTGTGTTCAAGAGTAAAACAATCTTCCTTATTACATTACATTTACCATTCACTATGGTATTTGCTATCTTTAGAACTATGTATTATTTCTTTCTCTACAATGTTGTCGCTTTTACAAGTAAAAGCACGAAAATATTTATATGACATGAACAAACTTGCTTGATGACAACTTTGCTCAGTCAAATACTTATTATCTATCAATTACGTATTTACAGAAGTCTTGATTTGAACTACATTTATGCGTTTATTTGCTAAACCTAGTCTTCCCCAATGTTGTTTTCTTCTTATTTCAGACATCCTAATGTAATTATATTGACAACATCGAACATAACTAGAGCCATAGACGTTGCGTTCGTGGACAGGTTGAAAAATATGTTTGTGACTCGAAAGTTTTTTAATTCACTTTCTCATCTAACTTCGCTATTTGTTCGCCCACAGAGCCGACATCAAACAGTATATTGGTCCGCCATCAGCCAAAGCTATTTACAAAATTTACCATTTGTTTGTATGTAACTTATGTCTTCTTGTGCACGTGATCAACGAAATGGCTGCCGGTCAATTATGTTTTCTGGCCAAAAGGAACGCCGAAATGGCTTACCGCAACCTATCATCATATACAATATAAAACAATTTGCCTCGTGAAGTATATCCCCTCTTCTCAGTACTTTGTACCTTTACGTCTACTGCTTTATTTCCATACCACAATATAGTCGTTTGTGCAAGTTATACAAACATGTTGCTTAAATAGAGAGGTGTGCAGCTATATAGAAATTGATTGCAAACGATTGCATTGTAGATAATTTTTTAATAATCAAAATTAATGTTCACCGTTTCATCACAGACCAGTATCATATCACCAGCCACTCAAATTTTGGATTTAAGGTACAACTGAAAAATACACGAAATTTTATTTTGACGAAAATTGACGGTGTTTGTTAGAAATTTTTGTTCACTTCTATGTTGATGACATGGTTTTCTTTTCCGATGTACAACTTTTTCCCTATTTTCCATTGTAGCTTTGTCGACAACGATGTAACACACTGTAGTCTTGAATTAAAGAAGATAGCCGAGTAAGTGAAGTAGATGTTTGTAGATGTAGATCGTCGAGGTTAGTGGTGTCCTGCGAAGGACTGTTGATGTTGATGTTGACTGACTTCTTAACAACCTTAGCGGTAGTCATCTTTAGAGTCAGCATCAACAACAACAGTTCTTTTCAGGACTTTACTAACCTGGACGATCTACATCTACAAACATGTAACGATACTCCCATGTTCAAACCTTTCACTTTAAAGTAAAGTGATGTCACAGAGTAAAATAAACATTTCTTGTCTTAGTTTATGGTAAATATTATGTCACCCAGTCTTCATGTTTTCAAGTTAGTATTCTTCTCGTTTTACAAAGAAAACGAAACTACGCCCGGGGGATTTTCAGAAGTTGTCTGAACCCTGGCAGTATGTTCTAGTTTCTTTTATGAGAAGAATTCTTGTAAAGAAAAAAGACAAATTTTGAAAGGAAAAACCCGTTTTCGGTCCATGCTTCCCGATACCTTCTTAAGCGTAAGGCACTAAAACGCGGCATGTTAACGTTTCGGTAGCAGATTTCGGCCCCTCCACGCTATCCTACTTGGGAGATGCAATAGCAAGCTTCCGCCCATCAGACCCGAGATCACCTGCGATAGGCTTTGCTCGGGGTACGCAGGAGAGTGCGGTCGCCACCGAAGTGTGGACCCTAAGCCACTGCATACTATATCGCACCCAGCTTCCACTGCTAGTTGACATCTACTATATGAAGCTATAGATTTATATTTATATATACAAAATTTAGAGGCTTACGAAATTTGTGGTATTATTAAAGTCACAACTGCGCATGCCCAGATAATTTCTTTGATAATTTGCGATTAAGTGGGATAATTGCCCCAGATGTAGTGCAAGTACATCTAGTTAGTCGTTGCCATGACTATAAACAATTAGTCGAGTGGGCTGCGCATGCTCGAGCGCATGCGCAGATGATTTCTCCATTAAATTGTTACTAAACATGCTATTTACTTCAAAATCGGGGCTAGTAGATGCAATTGGTCGTTGCCATGACCATGAACATTGGCAGCCAATCAATTTAACTGCGCATGCTCAGTTGATATCTTTAATAGTTTGTTAATAAGCAAGTTATATACTCCCTAATTGATGCTAGTAAATGTAGTTGGTCGTTTCCATGACTATCAACTCGGACAATTGGTCAAGTGGACTTTGCATGCTTGAGCGTGCTGCGCATGCCCAAGCGTACTGCGCATGCTCAGATGATCTTCTTATATTTTTGTGACCAAGCGATTAATTACTCAGTAAGTGATGAAAATAGGTCCAGCTTGTTGTTGCCATCACTATGAATATGAAAAATTTGTTAAATGACTAAATTTCTCATTATGATTGAAATTTATGATTTCCCAATATGTGACCAAGTGAACCACAGAAGGATGCAAGCTTGTTCTGTTTGTCATTGCCATGATTGTAAACTCGAACAGTTTGTTGAGTTGTTTGTGCATGTTCAGATGAGTTCTCAAATAATTTAGGACTGAGGTTTAAAATATACCGTCTTAATACTTGCAACATAAATAAAATTTAACTTTGTATTACATCTACATTTAAGGCGTAAAGATGTTTTTTCTTTGTTATCGTAGTCAGTAGTTATCAAGTAATGGACCACTCTCAAATAATCACGAATATTGGTTGACTTTTGGTTAGGTTTCTTTGGGAGGCCCTTCTCCTTTGAACTTGCAAGGAGCAGTCAAGCGTCTCACTGTGATAAACCTACGAAGTATTCTTTCTCTCATTTTCTTGTTTAGAAAAAGTTATCAACTAAGTGGTCGAACTCTTCGTAAACTACCATTCCTTGCACATGCGCTGTACTCAAAAGTAAGTAATACGAATTAAAGCCTTCACCCGTGTTCTTTTTGTTGTACATGCATGTACTTATATTGTCCCTCAAACCTACGTAATAGGCGCAAACGATAACCTTAGAAGAGTTTTGAATAATCTTTCAATGGTTGTCGACAAGCAGTTCAAAGAAAAGAGAATCTTTGCTCAGTTGGTGAAGAAAAAGCGTGCAAACGTGATCTTTTTAGCGATTGTATACTTTTATACATTCATAGTAATATTTTGGATATGTTTTGTTGAAGATTAAGATTTTTGTATTGCTCAATTTAAGTTCAATAAGTAACATAGATCACAAAGTTTGCTAATTTATATTGATGCTTTAAGACTCCTTACATGACGTTTCCAACACACCCGAGGTCAAAGTTCGTATATATTAAAATGCAACAATGTGTATAGTTCGTTATTGAGGATAATGTATAGATTATTTTACATAGGGAAAGATATTTATACGCTATAGTTAATTGTAACTGTTTAATTTCAACTTATGTTTACATTAAATGACATCCTTAAGCCAACTTTACTAATATTGATCGCTATTTTCGTGTTATACATCTATAATCATCTTGTTGTTAAAGATTTGAAGCTTTGCTGCGATAATACAGGTTTGTACAGCTATCTCATCTTTGTTTGTTGCCTGCCTGATAGCATGTCGACTCCGGGGACCAGATTTTTTATCGTGATTTATATGACATTATAGATTGTCGTACGTCTATCTAATATCTTGAGTATAAACGATATGTTTTTGAAAGATGAGTTTACATATACTCTAGCGTAGTGTCTTCATCAGGAGTGATCTGATGTTGAAACTTGAGTCATTATATACTCCAGTCTAGTGTCTTCATCAGGAGTGATCTGATGTTGAAACTTGAGTCCTTATATACTCCAGTCTAGTGTCTTCATCAGGAGTGATCTGATGTTGAAACTTGAGTCCTTATATACTCCAGTCTAGTGTCTTCATCAGGAGTGATCTGATGTTGAAACTTGAGTCCTTATATACTCCAGTCTTATGTTTTCATCAGGAGTGATCTGATGTTGAATCTTGAGTCCTTATATACTCCAGTCTAGTGTCTTCATCAGGAGTGATCTGATGTTGAATCTTGAGTCCTTATATACTCCAGTCTTATGTTTTCATCAGGAGTGATCTGATGTTGAATCTTGAGTCCTTATATACTCCAGTCTATTGTCTTCATCAGGAGTGATCTGATGTTGAAACTTGAGTCCTTATATACTCCAGTCTAGTGTCTTCATCAGGAGTGATCTGATTTGAAACTTGAGTCCTTATATACTCCAGTCTTATGTTTTCATCAGGAGTGATCTGATGTTGAATCTTGAGTCGTTATATACTCCAGTCTAGTGTCTTCATCAGGAGTGATCTGATGTTGAATCTTGAGTCCTTATATACTCCAGACTAATGTCTTCATCTGGAGTGATCTGATGTTGAATCTTGAGTCCTTATATACTCCAGTCTAGTGTCTTCATCAGGAGTGATCTGATGTTGAATCTTGAGTCCTTATATACTCCAGTCTTATGTTTTCATCAAGAGTGATCTTTTATTGAAACTTTCGCTAGTGTTATTTAACCATGTTATCTAAAAACTTTATCCTACATAGTCCATTTTTCTATTTGTGTTTCCACTTGTTTTCTTTAATGTTTTAAATTAATGTTCTTGACAGCAGAGAATTATTCTCATTATGATTTGGTCGTTGGAATACTTTCATAGCGCGGCAACTTTGATTTGAGGCAAAGTTTACGTGAATCATGGGTTGGCTATGCAAGACGACATTCATCTCTAAATAAAAGGGAAGCACAGGGAAAACACTGAATTTTCTTGAGGTTAGCTGTAGTGTGTTTTGTATTCAATTAGAGCTACTTAGCGTGTGAAACGTTACAGCAAACACAATATTTGTGAAGGTAAAGTGTAGAACAGTGTTTCAAATTGGCCTGTCGCGTTTACAACGAATTTCTTTAATACCGGAGAACGTTTACAATGTATTTCTTCAATACCAGAGAACGTTTACAAAGTATTTCTTCAATACCAGAGAACGTTTACAACGTATTTCTTCAATACCAGAGAACGTTTACAAAGTATTTCTTCAATACCAGAGAACGTTTACAACGTATGTCTTCAATACCAGAGAACGTTTACAACGTATTTCTTCAATACCAGAGAACGTTTACAACGTATTTCTTCAATACCAGAGAACGTTTACAAAGTATTTCTTCAATACCAGAGAACGTTTACAACGTATTTCTTCAATACCAGAGAACGTTTACAACGTATGTCTTCAATACCAGTGAAATGTTTGGTAAACTAATCTGATTACCGATATGAGTAACGTTTTAGCAATTGTCAGATCTACGTAGAATCGAATTGGACATTTTAGCTGACCGCCATTCTTTAAGTAGTGTAGCGTTGTGCGTTTCTATGATGGCCTATTGAATATACCAACAGCAAGGTCTTTAGTTTCGTTTATCAGTTTTGTTCTACACAAGAACAACTCATGCAAACTGCATTCTTTGTCATATGATAAATTTAACTGTGTTGACTAACGTCATTGTATTGAGGCTAAACTCGAATATTCACAAGAAATAACGGTTCACGGTACACTTGCCTAAAATATCCCTTTCTTTGCTGTGGTTTTCTTGGCCAGAGTTCCCAACAACCGTTTCTGTCGCAAAAAAATTGTACCAGTGATATAACTAAGTACAATGACTAAATCTGAAAAATAAAGTGTTGGTTACTATTCCATTGTTGTTTTAGAGTGTTGGTGAAGTTCATCGTTTCAAATAATGCATGTTACGTTCCTCCAGAGTTCAGGATTGATCCTTACAAATGCGAAAGAAAGAAAATCGAATCTCCAAGTTTGAAAATTTACTTTTGATTTGATAGTTGTGAGGTTTGGCGCCTGGAAAAAGCCGATATAAAACAATATGACGTTGGAATCTCGATGCAGGCGATAAACTAACGAGGCACATATTTACAAACGTCGAACATAACCTACTATACATGTGATATTTAAAGTTAATCAGTTGCGGATTACTCATTACGAAAAGTAAACCAAGACATTGTTAGTTTTACTTTTGCTGCTTGGAACTTGCTAAAAGTGCCGTTTTAGACCATTTATGATGTTGAAAACCGTACGTGCGATTGAATATCGACGAAAAGACTTTCGTACCATCTAGTGTTTAAATGCGCGAGGCTAAGAACTGACGAGGATTTCCTATTTCTGCAGACTGTTTTGATAATTTTTAAAGTTTATTTTGAACTATTAATTTCTTTTGTATCGTTCACACTATGTGTTACAAACGCAAGCTAGGAAATGCAAAGGCAAGGAACGTAAAGAACGCAAACGTTGTCAAGAGACTGAGCTTAGTGGAGGGATTAAATATCACCAGGCCTCGTAATTTTGCCTTAGCCTACATGCTCCGTAATTATTAATCAGCCACTGCTGCGAATTTATCATTGCTGTATGTATTTGTAGCGAAGATCAGACAGTCTTGATGGAAATATGTGTTGCTATCTCTCATGGAGATTTTACCGTCATAGAGGCTGGAACGAGTGCATGATCAAACGTGTTTATATGTTTGTCATATTGATGTTTAGACTACGAAAATGAAGTAATTGCTTACAAACGACCAAATGAAGAAAATTTGAGATATTTTCACAGTGGATCTATCGGATGGGACTTTGATGTGAGTATTAGTTAGTTATTTGTAGCCATTAAGAACTGCTCAACGGACACTGTTGCATTGAACTTTTGGGACCTTCTGAACAAAGTCTGAAACCTGTTGCATAAAGTGTCTGTTTGGCTTCAGGAGTAAAAATTTGGGTTGGCAATACAATACAATTATTTTTATACAGATCATCCGTCCCATTATTTTGACTCGTCTTGGCATCTCTTTATCATCGTTGAATTCAAAAAGAAACTCTTCTGTTCGACTCTACGACAGAACAACTAAGGTTAAACCATGCAGTTTATAAATACCGTTTACAAGTTATTTGATCTAAATTGTTTTATCTCGTTTCAGAGCGAAATTATATCTGTTTATTTCTCTTTCCAAGACCCTGGTACAACAGAAAACGGTTCGTCGTTTAAAGCAATTGAAAACTTTATTTTGCCAAAGGTGAGTAACAAGTCGATAATTTATCAAAATATTCAAGTGAATTGTTTGAGCTCAGTATCGTTATCATGTTTGTACAGGTTAGTAGAGTGCTGAGAAGGGCTGTTGGTGTTGATGTTGACTGATGTTTCGACAACCTTAGTGGTTGTCATCTTCAAAGTCGAGTGAGGAGTAAACGTCTGCAAGCAGATAACAAATATGGCAAACCTGACGTTTACTCCTCACTTGACTCTGAAGATAACTACCACTAAAGTTGTCGAAACGTCAGTCAACATCAACACCAACAGTCCTTCTCAGGACTCTACTGACCTGGACGATCTACATGCACAAACATGTAAGATATTGAAGCTTAGTCACAAAGTTAATTATGACTTTGAACTTTTCTATAGAGTTTGAACATTTGGTACGTTTCAAATGCCATTATAGGACTTCAAGGGCAGCGTCGTGTCTGAAAACGTAAAATGTTCAAGTTCTCGATGCAGAAAATGCGAGTATTTTGCCAACATTGAAAACGGAGAGGATTATTTCAATGTACACAAGGTATAAAACCATAAAGAAGTTTTATGTCATAGCCAATTGGAGGTGAATTGTTATGATTTAGAGCAAGTGAAGCGATTTTCTCCGAAAGAATTACTATCCAGTAATAAATGTTTTTCTTCGGTGCCCTCTTATCGATATTTGGACTAAATTATTGACATTTTACGATATTGCTAAATACAAGTTTTTCAATGGATATTTATTGTTTATTTTACAACAGATTCTTGAGCACGAGGCTTTATTTCGCTTTTGATGTAGCAAATTCATGTGTATTAATAAACAATTGGTTACTTAATCGATGTTGCAAGCATTACTAATCTACTAGAACGTATATAAAGGGTTTTCCAATTCAATGTTAAATAATTTGATTTAGAATTTTATATTTTGTTGGCTACAGTTACAAATCTATGGTGAATACTAACCCAAACCTACTCTTTTTTCCTAGATAAGACGGATTAACAACGAGTTCGCCGTCTTTCCCGAAGTCGAGGAATCAATTCCTGATGCTAGATGCGTGGATGGGGCTGGAACGTTCATGTATCGACTTTACAGTAGGTGTTTTTATGCTACATTACGTACGTACTGACTTCTTCGTTTTCGCGGTTAACAACGAGAAATTTGATGCAACAGTTGCTCTTAACTGGATTTTTCTGCGCACATTGAAAAGAAACAAAATATCCTCAGCAGTAAAGTGGATTTGTTGCTAGCATTTGTTTGGGAGGAAGCCTCTTCTCAATGTTAGTTTAATTTTAATGAAGAATGCCTCTCCTGTTGTAGCCCACGCATTGCCCCAAAGCCTTATAAGCTGTGAGTCTTTTCCGTTGGAAGCTTGCGAGAATTTTTAATTTTGTTTACTCTTTAAGAGAAGAGAAAATTTTGAAAACAAAAAATCCCGTTTTCGGTCCATTTCGATATCCTATTAATTGAAAGGTGGCAAATATCCCTATTACTTTGGGATGTCAATAGCAAGCTTCTGCCCATCAGACCCCTGCGATAGGCTTTTCTCGGGTACGATGCTGCTAAAATCGGATTTGGATATTTGTTGGTAGGGTGGTTTCTTGCAATGAAGTGCAAAGTACACATGCATGTACGTAATAAATTGGATGGCTGTCTCTATGCGATCAAAAGAAGTCATATGAATCCGAAAAGTTAACTGTTTAACCGTAAAATCACTCGAAATGTAAAGTTACTTTCTAGATTGAACCGTGAAAATAAGGTAAAAGAAAGTTATTATTCACAATGAATTTATGACATAAGGGTATAATTTAAACGATACAAATGGCTTGGCTTATTAAATGCTAACTTTGTAAAATCTATTATAAGAATTAGATAATCCATTTTTTCCATGAAGCTCATGGATACTTTTGTTCATGATATGAGAGTTATATTGTATAAGGAGGCTCTCGTTCATCACGAGAGAGTTATGAGATAGTTACCTTGTAAAAGTTAACATGTAAAAGCGTATAAACATATTTACAGTTGGTTTAAATTATAAGTCATTAAGGCGGAATTTTTTTTAACTTTTGCAATATCCTTGAATGTTCTAGTTTCTTTTTATACAAAAAAGATTAAATTCAAAAGCAAAAAACCCCGTTTTCGGTCCATGCTTCCCGATACCTGCTTAAGCCGAGGCACTAGAACGCCGCATGTTAACGTTTCGGTAGGAGATTTCGGCCCCTCCACGCTATCCTACTTGGGAGATGCAATAGCAAGCTTCCGCCCATCAGACCCGAGATCACCTGCGATAGGCTTTGCTCGGGGTACGCAGGGAGTGCGGTCGCGACCCGAAACGTCTGGACCCTAAGCCACTGCATACATATCGCACCCAGCTTCCACTGCTAGTTGACATCTACTATACCTAATATTGGCTTTATATATATATACAAAATTCAGAGGCTTACGAAAGTTGCGGTATTATTAAAGTCACTACTGCGCATGCCCAGATGATTTCTTTGATAATTTGCGACTAAGTGAGCTAATTGCCACAAATATAGTGCAAGTACATATAGTTAGTCGTTGCCATGACTATAAACAATTGGTCGAATGTACTGCGCATGCACCTGCGCATGCGCAGATGATTTATCCATTTAATTGTTACTAAGCATGCTATTTACTTCAAATTCGGTGCTTGTAGATGCAGCTGGTCGTTGCCATAACTATGAAGTCAAAAACTGTCAAGTGAACTGCGCATGCTCAGTTGATATCTTTAATAATTTGTTAGTAAGCAAGTTATCTACTCCTAATTGATTCTAATAAATGCAGTTGGTCATTTCCATGATCGTTTACTCAGACAATTGGTCAAATAGACTTTGCTTGTACTGCGCATTTCCAAGCGTACTGCGCATGCTCAGATGATTTTGCGTACATTTATGTGACCAAACGATTTAATCACTCAGAAAGCGATGAAAATAGATCCAGCTTGTCGTTACCATGACTATGAAATTGAAAAATTTGTCAAATGGACTGTGCAGACTCATATGAAGTTTAAAGCCTAGTGCCAAACACTAATATTCCCTCACCAAATATTAAAAGAAAAGATGGTACAATGCTTTATGAATAAATTTCTTTAAAGTCTGTAGCAACTTGCAATCCTCCGTAGATTCTCCGGGAAGAGAGTCGTGACAAAGAGGAAGAAGAAACTCGAATGTCGGAGTGGCAGCGATTGAAAGACGATGAGAATGAACGTTTACTTAAAGAAAGCAGAACTATTTCTGATATTCTTTTTGTTTCAAATGTCGATGTTTACAGAAATCTTCCATCCCAGTTGCTTCAGTTTTTCTCGTGGTAAGAGAGTGTCTGAGACTTTTTATATTTTTTCATGCCACTGTGAAATTTCTGGCGATAAGTGGACAGTCTCAAATCAACTTTAAACATTATTTTTGCCCAAATAACTTGCATTAGTGTATAATTCATCTCGCCAGTATCTCCTTACCTACGACATCAGTCGTCATATGTCATATTGATCTTGCTTCATGTCGGCTTTTCTTTTAAATAGGCTCTCGGCGACTTTAAGTTTTTCCTTTGTAATGAAAACTGACGATGATTGTTTTGTTAACCTGGAGACCATCTTACAGGTTTGTGAAAGCTCTTCAATTACATCTCCCAAGTAGGATAGCGTGGAGGGGCCGAAATCTCCTACCGAAACGTTAACATGCGGCGTTCTAGTGCCTTGCGCTTAAGAAGGTATCGGGAAGCATGGACCGAAAACGGGGTTTTGCTTTCGAATTTTATCTTTTGTTTTCTTCTCATAAAACAAACCAAGCAATGTTTCAATTAACTTCTTATGACCCTGTCTTTTCTGACACTTATAAATAAAGACAACCTTAAACATGTTTTATACCAATTTTATCGGTTTATATCTTTCTGATTTAACTCTCCCATTTACTGTTTCTCATGTATTACGAGCAAACCATACATATGTTTCATGGAAAACAAACAAGGATTATGTGGTTCCCTTAGTTAACATGCGACGCTCTAGTGCTCAACTATCTCGGGGTATCGGGAGGCATGGACGTAAACGGGATTCTTTGGTTTTCAAAATTTATCTTTTTCTTTACAAGAATTCTTCTCATAAAAAACTAGAACGTCAAGGATACTTCAAAGGTTCAAACAACTTCTGCCTTTTTGAACTATAACTTAAAAAAACTCTAAGCATGTTTATACGTTTTTTACTTATTACCTTTTACAACGTAACTTTCTCATAACTCTCTCGTGATGAACGAGAGCCTCATTATACAATATGACTCTTTCATCATGAACGAACGCATCCATGGGCTTCACGGAAAAAAGGGATTATGTACTTTGTTATGAGAACAAACCTGTTAAGAAAACAGGTTGTTATTTTTATAACTATAAGCTGTGTACAAAAACAAAATGAGAGAAGTCACCATCATGCATAAAATGCTTTCTGATACGTAGATGAACACTCGTATTTACTAATTAGCAGACCTGTATATATTATATATTACAGATAAACTTCAAAAATACTTATCTTCAATCTAGCAATCCAGTATCAGACTCTCTTAAATTATTTGGTAAGAAAGTTTTCTGTATTCCAAGAGTTGTTCCATCCATCACCACCTTCTGGGGAATTCTTCCACATAATTCACAAAAAAACCCATTGTCAAAATCAATATCAAGCAACCTTAATAAGAGAAAATTCAATAACTTAATAAAACAAGCGATCACTATCTCAATGGAATATTCATATTTTGCAGCTGAAAATGAAATGATGCTTACCGTATCATGGCAATGATAGCGAGACGAAACTTGGCGTAAGTTATTTCCTTTGGGAAATTCAAACTACCGAAGACACTTGCCTTTGTACATATGCAACATAATATTTGTACATAGGTAAACTGAACAAGAATAAAAAGAAAAACATTCAAAAGATATAGTGCGAGAAAATTAAATAATGGACAAACGTAGCTACTAATGCTTCGGCAAATTTTCATTAAAAAGTACCTCGAAAAGCCGTTATGAAAAGCCGAATGTAATCTTTTAGATCGGCATGAGATATTGCATATGATCCAAACCATACAATCCTGTTTTCAATGCCATCATAATGCTTTTTCGTAGCACAAGAGGAGCAAGGTCTACAATACACTAAATAATTTATTTAAGTCAAATAATTATGAAGTGAAGCGTAACCTATAACAAATCAGAACTTACCCTTCACATCATGGATTGAACAAAAGTACGCAACTGAACACAAGTCTACGTACAACCATTCATCTTGAATAGAACGTTTATCCCACTCTGCACCACAAGAACAAATACCACTTTCAGATGGCGCCAAAATTTTATGACCATTTTTTTCAGGAAGATCAGTAAAATCGCTTGCATCATTCTCATTGCCTAAAATAATTAAATAGTAATATTTACAAAATGCTAGAAAGTGCTAAATACCATACCGATAAAGGAAATAGTATATGTAAAGCTAAAAGGATGTTCACCATTGCAGATTATCTTGCATACTTGTTTCAAATAAAGAAACCTTTTCTTTGCTAAGTGTAGCCAATTCAAAATAGTCTCGCATCTGGTGTAATTCCAAAGGAAAACTTAAAAAGTGCCAATGGAGAATCCATTTCATCCTCGTCAACGATTTGCATGGCTTTTGCAAGGGTTGTCACATGAATGCAATGATATGACGAATAGCTGCAACATTTTAACTCGGGCTGGGGCGGCATTACTTTTGAATACACTAAAGTACAAACCCCCCATGGACTATTCACTGGTTTTACAGCAATCCACTGAACCTCCCTGCACACTGCACTAAACAAGTCCTAAAATATGTAAAATCATTTATCTTTAAGGTTGTATTATGTGTGTGTATGTATGTGTGTGTATGTATGTGTGTGTATGTATGTGTGTGTGTATGCAGATTAATAATTATGATTAATTATGACTTCACAAAATCCTTAGAAAGTGCTTAATATATATATATATCAGGCACGTAAAGCAAATGGTGAATATGACTTTACTATTTTTGTCATACATTTAGTTTATACTACTTAATGTATGTACTGTAAGTATGTGGCTATGTATGTATGTGAGTATGAATGTGTATACCTCAATAGTCATAAATAAATTCAATTTGCCCTGTTGGTTATCACCCTAATAGCTTTATAGAAGCTCCTGAACTTAGGCACAGGATGTATGGTAACAAATTGTGGGGTATTAGAAGGTTGAGAAACAATACGTGTATTTGTACAAAAAAGTTATTTTCACATAACAAAATATACTTCTTCAGGTTGCATCTCATGGTAGGAATGATCACTGAAAACAGACTGCATCATGGATGTGGATTCTGCATTCATAAAAGAAATTCCATGAGATAAATATATTGTGTAAATAATCATTCACAAGTTTTAACAATATTTTTGCTTGTAAAGCTGTGCGGGTTAACATCCACATGTAATAAGAACAATGTCGAACAAGGGTCTTGTAAAAACACAGAAGGATGACTTCACAAGGGTTTGAAATGTACAATAAACTGATATTTAAGGATGAAGACATTTTCTCCCATACCACATGAAGAACTTTACATTGAAAAAATAAGCCAAATACAAATTTGAGACATTCACTACATGCAATGTCAGATTAATATGTAACAAGTTCTCACATCTTTGACAAGGGTCTTGAAACAAATAGTATGTAAGTGTAAGTCAAAATTTGGTGAAGCTGTTCAGACACCTTATATCCTGAAAGAGTAACACACAACACTTACTTTTTTTCAATAAAATCTTTGGCTTCAATACCAAACTTTCTATCATACACAACCAGATATTTTTTCCATTGCTAATATGTGTATGCAACTCGGATATGGTATATCTGACAAGTACAAAAATGTTGTTTGGCCTGTTTTAATCATTTCATTTCAGTAACATCTATTTTACATACCTTTTTGAGGATCTAATTGTATATTATTAGGTAGGGCATCAACAAATTGCTTTCTATTTGCATCACATGAGCAGCACAATATCCAACCATAGCCATCAAGCAATAGGTGGGGATATCGATGTACAAATACAAATGAATTATGCTGAAGAAAAAAATACATGCAGATTATAGCACCAAAAAAAGCGTATTGAGTAATATCATTTAGTTGGGTATATACCCAACATTGAAATTATGGAAATAAAATTTGACATCACCATAATTGTTCTTTTGTTTGCATTATAATCATGAACAACAAAGGATTGCTGACATGATACATTTGATGCAAAGTCAAACTGTAACAATAGCCCAGTATAGTGGCCAGTGGGTGACAAATGACTCTGAAAGAGCAAGTACACAGTAATTATTAATGTTCACTGTTTCAAAAATATCTATTGTAATATATTTTTATGTTTGTTGAGCACATTTCTACCAGATGTTAATAAAGTTTTGCTAGACAGTGTTTCATGCATAAGCAATCAACAAGCATATTGTCAATTTATAACACATTAAAAACATGACTAGTGGTAAACAGTATAAAGTATAACTGTATATGTGAGAACTACTTGACTATGTTGACATGGTTGTTTGGGTTCCTCTGTAATAATAGAGATAGATTGCTTGGTAAAGATATCTTCAGAGTCCTACAAATAAAGACCATTATTTAATTTAAAATGTGTACAGACTTTTAATAAGTGTTTAAATAATGCATGCCTTCTTTAAATTACTTCAAAATTTTTTAGTTATTTCTAGTGAAAGCAGTCCTACATATAACCACTTCCAATGACTTTTCATGAGAAACAATATCAATATGTACATTAAAACTTGTGTTTTGGTGGTTAACTCTTGGTGCTTGTCATAATTTTCAGCAATATCTTCACTTTGTTCATTCTACATATAAATTAAAAAACCCATAAACATAGCGTATTTTTATATCTACATAGTTTTACAATATATGTAAACTTACCAAATCCCAAATTCATTTTCTTGTTCAAAAATTGAGATTCATATGACACACTGCTATTCTATTAACATATATGACATTGTGATTAAAGGATGTAGAGAATCCAGACTTGAAATTGGAAAATGTGCTCCGAATAAGTGTTTTTCCTTACACCACATTGTGGGCATAAATAAATTTGTACACATACTTTTGTTAATATAACTGTGGTAATAAAATAAATTAATATGAAATTGTGCAACCAGAAACAATAAAAGAACACTTTAAAATTCCTACCGCATCATCTTTTGTGTGTTTCCTTTCCTCTCCGCGTTATTGTAATTTGACGGGAAATGGTTTTATTCACTCTTACATCTTCTGCCTTTATAATTAGTCGATCTGTATTTCTAAACTAATATTTACAAATGCCCCAAGAGAATCTTTTATTTTATTGGCTCTCTTCTACAAATACAATACCATGTCCGACTATTTGATTGCACGAATTTTGTAATTTGATCACGTTTTTGACACGTGTGTTTACGATGGGAAAGATGGATTGCTTAAATGTACCTAGTTGTTTAGACTACTTGAATCCATAGTTATCCTGTAATGTATACTCTTGTGAAACACCAATGAGCATACGTAGTGTGTCTTCTATAACCTCTATTCTTGTTCTCCACTTCATCATCTATCCATATTTGTTCTTTTTAGTTCTCAGCTCAACACAACCCTTGTCTGAAGTTCCTAAAATTTCATCTACCCAAGAAAGATCTCTGGTGGTAACATGTTAGGTATGGCTAGTGGTTGGTCATCGTCATTGAGCCTTGTGACACCAGTTCAGTATACGTTAATTGTCCTGAAGACGTTGAGGAGGTTGCTAGTAAAGCGTCACCTAAACCAGAAGTTAGTTTTCATGGTATGCTAACGGATTACGCAAACGTTGTTTGAAAGAAGTTCACATCAAATGGTTATGGTCTCGTTCCATCGTCTTCTGAGAAGGTTTCATGTTCATCCTGTATCTTTCACCAAAGTTACAAATATTGAGTTTTTTATGCTTTTTGAAATTGTCGTTTTTATGACTATTATTTTAGAGCATAGATATTGAAGAATCTTGTGGTAGTACAGGTATTTTCAACATTTTTTTGTTGAAAAATTCTCTAGTTTCAATTCTTCGAAATTTCTCATCTTAATTTTCATCTTTACTTTAGAATCCTTTCGATACGAGAAATCGTCGGGATTTGAGGTACTTTATACGATATATTGAATTTAAGTTTTATAGCGTTAATAACTCTCATCTGTCCATCGTAACTTTGCTATGATTCTATGGATAAATTATGTTTTTGTATATAACAGATTATTGATGATCCTACTTCACCTGATGATCCTCACGCTCTTATTTCGCTATCTGGACTTTAACACAAGATCACGAATATGAGACGATAAAGACAAATTCCGGTTACAAATACAGGCGCTGCGTCAAACCGTGGTTCACTAATGCCTTTGAAATCGGTAAAGTCCTTTTATTATTTTGCTTGTAAGCTTTCTTTACAACTGTAAGTTTTTACTCTCCTAAGACTATAGGCACGACCACAACTGATAATCGCCAGGTTGGTATAGTTTCGAGAAGGACTGTTTTTGTTGTTGTTGACTGACGTTTCGACAACCTTAGCGGTAGTCATCTTCAGAGTTTTTGACTATACTAACCTGGACGATCTACATTTACAAACATGTAACGATACTCTCGGGTTCAAACCATTTTGATAATCCCCAGTTTATCTATGGTGAAACTTGTTATAATTCCCATGTATTTTCTTACTCTCTGGAGACTAAATTTTGTATCCCTTTCTTCTTTCCTAGGCGAGGTTTTATTTCTGCTGTGGGGTGTTTGGCTTTGTATCCGTGTACGAAATGCTCCCTCGGCGTACAACGAGACAAGTACATCGCCTGGTGTATATATAACACTCTGTTTGCTAAGATCGTAGTTGGTCTTCTGAGGTAAGGCAAAATGTTTGCATCGGTGTTACTGTCATTTTCATGAAAGGTTGAATTGTTGGAATGTTATTAAACAAAAGAATGATAGCATATAATGCTATAACCAACAACTAAAACAATAACGACCTTATCAACAACATTTGAGAATTAACCTTCAAACGAGACAAGTCTACTCAAAGCAGAAGGGCATAAAGGCTCTCTGCCTTTGAGTAGACTTGTCTCGTTATTACTCAAATGTTGTTAGATAAGGTCGTTATTGTTAGTTGTTGGTTATAGCATTAAAGGTTGAATTGTTTTGACAACATTCTCTTTTATTTAGAATTGTTCTAGATAACTTTCACAATCCTGATGTGGCGTATGTCGTAAACAGTTTGTCAACGCATGTCATTGCCACCGTTATGTTGGTTTTGCTCTTTGCTTTCAAGGTAATGGTTGTACTGTTAACTTAGTATTAATTACTGCCGATGAAAGAGGATCTTAAAACCTCTCAAAAGAAGAAATTTGTAATCTAGAGAGCTTCGGGTTTTTGTCAATACGTCTATCTACTGGACCTTTTCTTCGTTGAGTTTTGGCTTTCCATCAATGAACGAGTAAGCGTTTTACGATTGATTATGAAGTGTGTTATGATGCGATTGGCAATGAGCCCGAAAAGAAAATAGAACAAAAGCTTTTTAATAGAACGGCCAAGCCCAACTTGAAGAGCTCTCGAAGATAAACACGTCAGATTATCCTCGATGCCTTATATTTTCTTCATTAAATTTTATTTTCAAAACTTTAAATTGAATATTGTCGTTGAAACACCATATGGTGAACAAATTAGCGTAAACAAATGGCCAAATATGTCTTGGACGTTCGTTTCAAATATCAAAAGAGATTAGCCAAGGGTTACATTCTCTCATCGAAAGGAATCATGCAGCAGCGAAGATACTTATCTCTTTGTTATGCTTTAGGTCACGCGAAGTCGTTTTTCATTAAATTACGAAATGTTTTAGGATACATTACGACACATATTGACTAATGTGGAAGTATGAATGTTATAAAACTGCACGACGCGTTTTTTCAAAGGACATTTCTCTGTTTCGAAGCATACTCAAGTATTCCAGTACATAACATTTAATGCTTAATAAAGTAAATGGTTTGAACCCGGGAGTATCGTTACACGTAAATGATGATCGTCCAGGTTAATAAAGTCCTGAGAAGGACTGTTTTGTTGTTGTTGACTGACGTTTCGACAACCTTAGCGGTAGTCATCTTCAGAGTCATTTTGACACTGACTCTGAAGGTGACTACCGCTAAGAAACGTCAGTCAACAACTCCTTCTCAGGACTTTATTAACCTGACGATCATCATTTAAAACATTAATCTTAAGTCAGTCTGTGTACTTGCTGACCTACACCTGCCCTCCTCGATATTAAATTTTTCCTGTCTGTTTTAAAGGTATACTTCTTGAAAAATACAATGTAAATCAAAGAAGGCGTTCTCGGGTAGTTCGTCTATAGCCACAACGATGACGGATCTTCGTAAATCACCATTTCATCTCAACCGTTTGGAGGACGGTACTTTGGTGCGAAAACGATGAAGAGAAAAGCCGCGAGGGTCTGGAAACTGAGAATATACAACTGAGGGTAAGATGTTTTGGGAATACTGTTTGAGTACAGATTAAAACGAGGATTTTTCGAAGAATGTTCAAAGAAACAATGTCAATGGTTATTGTCTTAAATACAAAGAACGACTCTCCATTTGCAAAGTGGGTGGCCTAGGTTTGAGGGTTAGGGAGATTTGTCAGATCATCGCAGAGTTGCTAAAGAACGAGTCGATCGTGAGATGCGCCAGGGTCTGACGGGAAGGTATGGGGGAAATGAGTTGAACTTTGGTCCCTGTGATGGTATTCACGTCCAATTACAGTCTTTCAGTTTCTCAAAACTTGAAAATTGAATGTGTGCTCCTTGTGACAGCACATTATGCATTAAGCCATTTATAGGCGCACGTCAAACAACGTGTGAAATATGCTTTTGTTAAACAACTGCCAAAATCTCAACTCACGCCACACGCGAAAGTGATCATTATCACTTGTAGTTGATTATTATCCCCAATTTACAGAGATTATCATCTTCAATATAGAGTAATTATCCTCAGTTAAAACCATTGAAATTGTAGCAAAGAATCCGTTAACACTTATGAAATAAGCCGATTTGATGTTCAATTAATGACATTCCTATATTAAAATCATTATCCTTACACTTTCACAGGAGGAAATACGTGATTTGACTGCGAAACTTGCAGCATGTGAATACAAACAACAACGAGAGCAGAGACGACAACAAGGAAGTCCACAAGAAAACAGCTACATTTCCACGAGTAGCGAGACTCGTCACTCCAGATTCAACAGCGAGACGGAGAGCGCTCAGGGTCGAGAGTCGGAATCTCCCGATAAAATTGGTCAAAAGCATTGAGTTCTATAATAACTGGAGCGGCTATCTTTACTGGGGCGAGGTCGCCAAAAAAATGGCGGCCAACGGACGTATTTCCGCTGAAATGATCGCTTTGCAGAAAAATAATATTCTCGACCTCCCCCTGGTGTCTATAGTAAATTATAAAGAATTTTTCAAAAACAAACACGATATCACAGAATATGGATATCGTTTGTTCCATATTCTGTGACGATATATTTTTTGGCATTTCTTTTATAATTACAACACTTCAATCATTCAATTGTTGGATGTCGTAGTTTCCACAAAAACGAACATATCGCTTCTTACAGGTGAGATAGTTGCTTGTTTTGTTAGTCCGTCAACGATTGAAAAGCAATTGTACATGTACTTGAAAAGCCATAAAATACGTATTAAAGATCGTATTTTTTAAGATTGACTTGAACGCCAAAGATACTGATGTTTCCTGTTATTGTCTATAAAATTCTGCATACTTTTCTGTCATTTGTTAATGCATGAAATCGTAAATTTACCCATCTATTTGCAAAATAGTTTCCCTAAAGTAAAAGACCCTGCACACAATTTGCTCTGTGAGTAAGTATCAAAAAGAAATGATCAGCCCCAACAGTACCCATGATTTGGAGCAAAGCTTGTTGTGTTCTATTTGCTGACAACATCCAGGGAAGATCAAGGAGTAAAGATGAGTAGAAGATGTTATTGACCTGGCAGAGTCTTAAAAAAAATGATAATGCTGTAAAGATAATTGATTTATTGTCTGCCCAATCCAGAGTTATTTAATTTGATCATGGTCAAATTCTATGGATGGAGACAATGGATTCACTAAGGATGCCTTGTATGCTTTGAAGTTAAAGTTCATGATCCAAAGAAAGATGGCAAGAAGGTTGTGTGTGTTTTAATGCTTAATGAAATGTCAATTCACAAACGTGTAAAATGGAAGGCCATAAAGTATGTGTCTATGTAAACATTTGTACTGAGATTGATGATGAATGGATGCAGATGTGAAGCATCAAACTGTATAAGCCATTGGGTTTTATGTAACTTAATGGTTAAATCATGTCATATCTTTATCAAAATATTTTAGTTGAGTGTTGTTTCAATGTTACTAATATCTAATGCACTATACTGAAGCATTAAAGATTCAGTGATGAAACCTTTAAAGTTACTGTACTGTACATTTCTTCATTATCACAGTTTTTGCTTTTAGAAACAGTTTGAGCTTATTTACCTATTAGAGTACAGAATGGAAATTTATCATATGCATTATTGCTGCTTTTTTAAAGAAAAGTTTAACACTTTTCAAAGCTTTCCTACAAATTTTTTCCTTCTTATTTCTTTTCATGAGATTGATGATATATGGTTAATATAATCCAATAACTTTATAATTTCTAAAAAGCTTTTAAGCTTCTAGCATAAAAGTATACTATAGGTATTTGATTGATTTGGTTATATTGCCTTGCTATGACATATCTACTTGCACTTCATCATTCTTGTATGAACAAAACACCAGATGTGGATACTCAGAGAACAAAATGCACCACCAACTGCTTATGAAATTTATTATTGAGGTGAAAATTGTGTTAATCATTCAAATTGTGTACTTATTTGCAAATATAGGAAAAACAAAACAAAGTGAAAAAGAAGGGTAGAAGTATTAAAACTACAAATGAATTATAAACACCATTGGAAGCATAAGTGTTTTGATGATTATTTGCATTTTGCCCAATTCATATATCAATACAACAAAATCAAAATGTGCTACAACTTTACAAGTATTTGATGCAGTTGCACTTCAGAACATCACAAAAAGGTTACTTAAAGTAATTTCTATACAATATTGTTTGTTTTCATTTACCAAACCTATGCAGACTTGAGTCTTTTTTAAATTCAATATGAAACTCAATTACATAAAATCCGTAAATATCCAGAGATTTAATATTTACTTTTTTAAAGAAACAAGTAAAAATCCAACAATTGTGGCGAAAAAAGTCATTGCCCATTGCATCATGAAAAGAAGCAAAATAGCAATGATAACAAATAAGCTAACTTCTCTCTCGTGAACCGTGGAGATGAACTGTGATATACTTTTTTGTATAGACTAAAGAGTTTAATCGATCAAACAAGTTTGACGCTAGTAAAAAAACGACGCACATCTGCATTCATACATGTGTAGCCGACATATAGCTCTTTCGTCGATAGTTATAAATGCATCCTCGTAGGAGCACATAACTGACAACCACAGTTGACTCGCTGTTATGAATTTAAGGTTTTTACCTTGATTTTCATTAAAAAATTGCTTGCTGAATCCCAAATACACAAATACATTTTCCTCAATCTTTCCTCAGGAGGGAGTGGGAAATTGTAAAATTTTCGGAAAAGCGATCAATTTCGGTAAATCTCAGCGGCAACGGACGAAATCCGCCATTTTTTTGGCGTCACCAGATATCTAAGGCCGCGCTTGAGATAGCCGCTCCAGTTATTATAGAACTCAATGGTCAAAAGGTGTCGAACGTTGCCGACAGCTTGACAAGCAACGGTAGCGTGTTCACACGCGAGGAAAGAGGTGGAAGTTTAATAGAAGATATTAAAAACGCTGATCGTTTTATCGCCCTACCAAACGGTAGTAGCGTTTCCGATGAAGAAACTTTAACGGTCATGTCAAACGTTTCTGTTGAATCCTCGTGATATTGAAAAGATTCTTGGAGGAATATGGCCGTGTGTTCTACTGAAGAGAATATTTATGGATCCTGTTTCAGGAAAGATGAGATTTGACAATGAACTGTGGTACAACTTGACTACCACGAAGATGTTTCCACATAAAGATTAACTCCTACGAGAAGAAAGTTAATTATAAACGATCGAATCGACTTACTAAACCTTTCCCACAATAAATATTCAAACGCAAAAAACGACATGCATTTCGTTAAGAAAATGTGAAACATTTTATGCTTATCTCTGAATTTATGACGTTTTCGTCGCTAATGACGTAATTTGACGCTATGACGTAATTTGATCGCAGCAACACTCAAGTCTGTACTTATACACTTTACACAATTAGCATTGCAATAAATATTTTACATGAAGTACGCAGGGACATAAGCGAGGCTAATCGAAATCTTTACACCTGCATGGCAAATTTTTTAGCAAAATTATTCGGAATTATTTCGATTGTTTTTGCAGTTAATGAACACAAAAATATTTGCATAGCAGGAATAATGTCGATATTCCAAGCAATAACCATTTTATACAAAAACGTTTACACAGCGCTATAGATTTTATTTAATTTAAATTAATGTCGTTCGTAAAAGCCAAAACATTAAATTTGTAATATAGAGAAAATAGATTTAATTAAGTGAAAAAAAGATAAAAGTTTAATTGAAGCTGTACTTTTCTATCTTTTGTGTGGATTTGGAATTTTCTTATCTCCCTCCTCCCCGACATAACTAACGTACCTCAACATTTGCAAGGATTACCGCAGGACATAAAGTTTTCCCATAAATAGAGAAGAGAATCGGCATCCTGCTCGGGCAAGGTAAACATTTCCATCTGACAATCCCGAAACACGACCATCGCTCATCCTGAAGTATTTGAAATAGAAAGGAAACACCGTCACATGTTCGGCCGCTGGTTCATAAGAACCTGGGCTCGTAAGAGATCACCATAAAGGATCTTGTTGAACAACCGTCACAAACTTGCAGAGAAGAAAAGGAGATCTTACCTTATAAATTTCAGGAGCAATAGCTGATAACCAAATACCCATAGAGACATCCTCCCCTTTACACAAGAAAGAAAAAACATGTGTCAATATCTAGTACTCTGAGAACTACATCTTTACACATCAAGAGGTCACTTTCAACATTGTAATCTCGTCGTGGTTTTCTATCATATACCTGATAACGTTTTAGAGATTTCTCGTTTTTTGCCAGCCAGTGAACAATATCCGAAGATATAATGCTGCCCGCACCGCAGGCAAATGTCGGATAAGCCACTCCCGGATAATCAGGCTCGGCCCATTTTCCCTGTCTCTCGATCAACCAATCAGTACGAAAGCTGTAAATATGAAGAAGCAATTGCATTTAGAAGCAATAACTACAACTCATATTCTCATACCTTATTTATAGTTTAGTCGCATGGAAAACGCTAATTCGTATGTTTGCAATCTCGTTTCTGTTTTACTTGAAAAAATATTATAAATTTGGCAATTCCTAATGCCCAAAACATGATATCTCAAAAGGATTTTCACTATGTCAATAAAATCTTTAGAATGGACTCAGTATAAAGTAGATGGTTTGAACCCGGAGTATCGTTACATGTTTGTAGATGTACATCGTCCAGGTTAGTAGAGTCCTGAGAAGTGTTGTTGCTGTTGGTGTTGACTAACATTTCGACAATCTTAGCAGTAGTATTTTGACTCTGAAGATGACTACCGCTAAGGTTGTCGAAACTTCAGTCAACATCAACACCAACAGTCCTTCTCAGGACTCTACTAACCTGGACGATCTACATCTACAAACACGTACACAGAATATTGTGTACTGACGGAGTTGAGCTAAACTCACCTTCCCCACCACAATTTAGACGTGTTTTTTAAATTATGACTTTCCATTTCCTAAAAATATCAAATATTTCTTCAGTCGTGAAGTTCTTCGGTACACTATTAAAGATATAAAGCTTAATTAAAGACACCCTTACAAATCGCTTGATTGAGTAAAATCTTTAGATTGAGTCAAAAATCATCTGTGCAGCTTGTATACTTCCGGAGGTAATTAATGTTGAAATCGACTCTATACTGAGCATGCGCAATTTCTATTTCCTCGTGCTTTTATTGTAGAGACTCGGGACGAGGCTCATTCCAAAGCTCTCAATGAGAGGTCTGGGATGGTGTAAAATCATCTCCACAGCATGGTTTAAGAGTGGCGTAAGGGTGTTTTAAGGGTGGTTTAAGGGTAGAGTAAGGATGTTTTAAGGGTAGCGTAAAATGTTTTAAGGGAGTTTTAAGGGTAGCTTCAGCGTGGTTTAAAGGTGGTCCAAGGCTTTAAGTTACGCCCTAGACTACGGTTAAACCACCCTTAAACTACCCTTAAGCCCTCTAAAACCACATCTAAACCATTTTAAAAACCACGCTTAAGCCACCAGATTGATATACTCCAAAATCCCAAGATACATCTACGTACTCCAAAATCCCAAGATACCTCTACATACTCCCAACTCCCAAGTTACCTCTACGTACTCCCAACTCCCAAGTTACCTCTACGTACTCCCAACTCCCAAGTTACCTCTACGTACTCCCAACTCCCAAGTTACCTCTACGTACTCCCAACTCCCAAGTTACCTCTACGTACTCCCAACTCCCAAGTTACCTCTACACTCCCAACTCCCAAGTTACCTCTACGTACTCCCAACTCCCAAGTTACCTCTACGTACTCCCAACTCCCAAGTTACCTCTACGTACTCCCAACTCCCAAGTTACCTCTACGTACTCCCAACTCCCAAGATACCAACACGTATTTTCTATTATTTATTGAAGAGCTTTCACAAACCTGTAAGATGGTCTCCAGGTTAACAAAACAATCATCGTCAGTTTTCATTACAAAGGAAAAACTTAAAGTCGCCGAGAGCCTATTTAAAAGAAAAGCCGACATGAAGCAAGATCAATATGACATATGACGACTGATGTCGTAGGTAAGGAGATACTGGCGAGATGAATTATACACTAATGCAAGTTATTTGGGCAAAATAATGTTTAAAGTTGATTTGAGACTGTCCACTTATCGCCAGAAATTTCACAGTGGCATGAAAAATATAAAAGTCTCAGACACTCTCTTACCACGAGAAAACTGAAGCAACTGGGATGGAAGATTTCTGTAAACATCGACATTTGAAACAAAAGAATATCAGAAATAGTTCTGCTTTCTTTAAGTAAACGTTCATTCTCATCGTCTTTCAATCGCTGCCACTCCGACATTCGAGTTTCTTCTTCCTCTTTTGTCACGACTCTCTTCCCCGGAGAATCTACGGAGGATTGCAAGTTGCTACAGACTTTAAAGAAATTTATTCATAAAGCATTGTACCATCTTTTCTTTTAATATTTGGTGAGGGAATATTAGTGTTTGGCACTAGGCTTTAAACTTCATATGAGTCTGCACAGTCCATTTGACAAATTTTTCAATTTCATAGTCATGGTAACGACAAGCTGGATCTATTTTCATCGCTTTCTGAGTGATTAAATCGTTTGGTCACATAAATGTACGCAAAATCATCTGAGCATGCGCAGTACGCTTGGAAATGCGCAGTACAAGCAAAGTCTATTTGACCAATTGTCTGAGTAAACGATCATGGAAATGACCAACTGCATTTATTAGAATCAATTAGGAGTAGATAACTTGCTTACTAACAAATTATTAAAGATATCAACTGAGCATGCGCAGTTCACTTGACAGTTTTTGACTTCATAGTTATGGCAACGACCAGCTGCATCTACAAGCACCGAATTTGAAGTAAATAGCATGCTTAGTAACAATTAAATGGATAAATCATCTGCGCATGCGCAGGAGCATGCGCAGTACATTCGACCAATTGTTTATAGTCATGGCAACGACTAACTATATGTACTTGCACTATATTTGTGGCAATTAGCTCACTTAGTCGCAAATTATCAAAGAAATCATCTGGGCATGCGCAGTAGTGACTTTAATAATACCGCAACTTTCGTAAGCCTCTGAATTTTTGTATATATATATAAAGCCAATATTAGGTATAGTAGATGTCAACTAGCAGTGGAAGCTGGGTGCGATATGTATGCAGTGGCTTAGGGGTCCAGACGTTTCGGGTCGCGACCGCACTCTCCTGCGTACCCCGAGCAAAGCCTATCGCAGGTGATCTCGGGGTCTGATGGGCGGAAGCTTGCTATTGCATCTCCCAAGTAGGATAGCGTGGAGGGGCCGAAATCTCCTACCGAAACGTTAACATGCGGCGTTCTAGTGCCTCGGCTTAAGCAGGTATCGGGAAGCATGGACCGAAAACGGGGTTTTGCTTTTGAATTTAATCTTTTTTTGTATAAAAGAAACTAGAACATTCAAGGATATTGCAAAAGTTAAAAAATTCCGCCTTAATGACTTATAATTTAAACCAACTGTAAATATGTTTATACGCTTTTACATGTTAACTTTTACAAGGTAACTATCTCATAACTCTCTCGTGATGAACGAGAGCCTCCTTATACAATATAACTCTCATATCATGAACAAAAGTATCCATGAGCTTCATGGAAAAATGGATTATCTAATTCTTATAATAGATTTTACAAAGTTAGCATTTAATAAGCCAAGCCATTTGTATCGTTTAAATTATACCCTTATGTCATAAATTCATTGTGAATAATAACTTTCTTTTACCTTATTTTCACGGTTCAATCTAGAAAGTAACTTTACATTTCGAGTGATTTTACGGTTAAACAGTTAACTTTTCGGATTCATATGACTTCTTTTGATCGCATAGAGACAGCCATCCAATTTATTACGTACATGCATGTGTACTTTGCACTTCATTGCAAGAAACCACCCTACCAACAAATATCCAAATCCGATTTTAGCAGCATCGTACCCCGAGAAAAGCCTATCGCAGGGTCTGATGGGCAGAAGCTTGCTATTGACATCCCAAAGTAATAGGGATATTTGCCACCTTTCAATTAATAGGATATCGAAATGGACCGAAAACGGGATTTTTTGTTTTCAAAATTTTCTCTTCTCTTAAAGAGTAAACAAAATTAAAATTCTCGCAAGCTTCCAACGGAAAAGACTCACAGCTTATAAGGCTTTGGGGCAATGCGTGGGCTACAACAGGAGAGGCATTCTTCATTAAAATTAAACTAACATTGAGAAGAGGCTTACTCCCAAACAAATGCTAGCAACAAATCCACTTTACTGCTGAGGATATTTTGTTTCTTTTTTCAATGTGCGCAGAAAAAAATCCAGTTAAGAGCAACTGTTGCATCAAATTTCTCGTTGTTAACCGCGAAAACGAAGAAGTCAGTACGTACGTAATGTAGCATAAAAACACCTACTGTAAAGTCGATACATGAACGTTCCAGCCCCATCCACGCATCTAGCATCAGGAATTGATTCCTCGACTTCGGGAAAGACGGCGAACTCGTTGTTAATCCGTCTTATCTAGGAAAAAAGAGTAGGTTTGGGTTAGTATTCACCGTAGATTTGTAACTGTAGCCAACAAAATATAAAATTCTAAATCAAATTATTTAACATTGAATTGGAAAACCCTTTATATACGTTCTAGTAGATCAGTAATGCTTGCAACATCGATTAAGCAACCAATTGTTTATTAATACACATGAATTTGCTACATCAAAAGCGAAATAAAGCCTCGTGCTCAAGAATCTGTTGTAAAATAAACAATAAATATCCATTGAAAAACTTGTATTTAGCAATATCGTAAAATGTCAATAATTTAGTCCAAATATCGATAAGAGGGCACCGAAGAAAAACATTTATTACTGGATAGTAATTCTTTCGGAGAAAATCGCTTCACTTGCTCTAA